AAAGAGGGAGTAGGTCTAAATTGTCTATTGCATTGACAGCTAGATTTATGTTTTACTGGCCTACTTAGTACAATTAGTGCTAGTAGAATACACTGTGCTAATAGGACAATGAGCGGTGGGGAGGGTGAATTTGTGGATGTGGTGGGTAAGCATTCTATTGCCACCTTTTTCAGTCCCAACATGAGACTCACGTAAAGATTTGCGGTGTTAATGGAGTCGCCTACTATCATGATCTAGATAACTCTAAATCAAGATAGGTGTTGAAGATTAAACTGGCTACCAGAGCCGATTTAGAGATCAAATCAGCCTTGAGGCCAGTTTAGATCGATTTGAAGATAACCTCAGGCCCAAACAAGAAAACCCAAGAACCGATAAATCAGACTCGAAGTTGGACTCTGCCGGTCTGACTGGCCTCATGCTGACGGCTAGATTGGGCCCACACCGTCAGTCTGACCGGCCCTGTGGTAGCGGTTAGACCGACCTCATATGGCAAACCGGGTCTTCTTAAAGCTGTTTGCGTTTTCCTATTTTTTCATCTTAGGTGCTAAAGTTGGAGGTGTGATAACCCAGCTAAAGTAGGTGCTAAAGTACGCTAACAACCCAGCTAATGTAATCCAGTATGAGGTGTGATAAAGCTGTACATCCACAACGTACCTTCTATTTACTCTCAGATAACGTTGTAGCCTTGTAGGACATCGTTGCCGTAAGAGCAAGTTTAATAGTATAGCCCACTACTAAGAGTATTAGCTCTAATTCATCTATAGCTGATCTAATAGCTAATTTATAAAATAGTTAATTACTGTACTATTAATATATGGTCACACCTATCATACACACATTACGTCTTGAAGTCCGTGCTGCAGCTGGCTATAGATCTGTAGGCCACTGCTCTTCTATCTCATCTTTTATCTTATTAAAATATACTTACTGGTTAATAGTATGCTATTGTACCTGCTTAAAAAAATGAACACGACGAGCACACGAATCGATGGTAAGGTACGTATGATAAGGGGAGGGTGGCCGCCGGTTAACTAGAAGTTTCTCTCTCTTTTCTCTTTTTGACAGGTAGAATAACTAGAAGTTACTCCGACGTACTGACGACGTACGCACTACGCACGCGCACCTGGCCTTTTTCTTGGGCACATGCATGGCTCATGGCACCTACTGCCACGTGCAATGTACATATTGATCAGTACAAACTGAAATAAACATATCGTCATGGGTACACGGCTACACGCTCACCTGCCAACCAGACTGTGTGGTCCTGTGTGGATTATGAATGTGCTGCAAGTATATGCTCTTGGTTGTTCTTTGGATTATAATTCAAAGCAATTTTAAATTTTCAACTATAATTTTAGACTTGATGTCTTTTTTACTTTGCCTTTATATAGAAATCATAAATATCTATCCTCTCGAGCGATTGAATGATTGCGTACACGATATGCTACCTACTTACTACTCCTTTCTTTTAATCTACTTACTACTTCTTTCATTTAATTTTTAACATATGTAATACCGTTAACTTTTAGACACACATTTATAACTATTTATTTTATTTAAAATTTATGTTCAAATGTATAAGATATAAATCATGTTTAAAAACTTTTATGGTAAAACAACTCACAATAAACTAAATTATAGTTATGTAAATTATTTAAATAAGGTAAATAGTTAAACGTATATCTTCCTGTGCCCTTTGCATTGAAACGTTGGCATGTACTACTTCACTTCTTATCCTGTGGATAGGGTGGGGACCACGTGTTATGCATATGGCGCGTTGCCACATCACTGATGCGTGGTTTGGGCGTCCCATCCTGATCTATATACTCCAAATGTTTGGGATCAGATATTTAGATCATGTGAGTGGCGTGCTAATTTACTTGTCCAATAAGCTAGGCAGCGAGCTTAGCTAAGCTTCAATTCTAACTGATCGACTCACACAATTAAGGTCAAACGTACGTACGACCGACCCATTATCGCCGGTGGCCTGAGACGTGGTGGGTAGATCGATCGTGCATGCATGTGGACGTGTACATGCACCAAGGGATAGGGATCGAGTCACAGGACTTATCGGGATTATATGTCGGACAAAATATACGATTAAGTAAATGGGGAGGTTTGAAATCGATCGGTACAATACCGAGAGGTGGATAAAATTCTAGATTTGAAGTCTGGGTTTGAATTCAAAGCTTAATTTCATGCTGGCAGAGAATAATATAATCATTCCATCGGGATGGGACTAATCGGTCGATCTAGCTACATTTAAGGTTGAGTGAATTATATTTTGGACTATCTTTTTTTATACCACTCTTATATGTATTTCTCACAAAATGGTTTCACTTTGAACCAGGTATGTTCTAAAATGTTTTGCTTCGGAGCATGTATTTCCTCTAAAATCTTTCCTTTTGGGCTTGTAATTCTTCTTGCTCTGTCTTCCTCTCCGGCCCTTCTCTCCATATCTTCAATGAACTAGTCTAACCACATCTAACCACTCGAGTGCTTCAGTTAAAAAAAAACCACTCGAGTGCCAATATTGTTGGATTTGACGAGGCCTTGAAGTTGAAGAGTTGAATATTTGAACTACCACAGTAGCACTCAGCCTTTGCAGACCCAATAATAAATACTCCCTCTGTTCGAAATGTTTGACGCCGCTGACTTTTTAGCATATGTTTGATTGTTCGTCTTATTCAAAAAATTTAAGTAATTATTAATTCTTTTCCTATCATTTGATTCATTGTTAAATATATTTTCATGTAGGCATATAATTTTACATATTTCACAAAAGTTTTTGAATAAGACGAACGGTCAAACATGTGCTAAAAAGTCAACGGTATCAAACATTTCGAAACGGAGGGAGTATTTAATTTCTAGGAAGGAATATATATTTGATCAGGCCCAACAAACACCCAATTCCTGTTTGGGCCTTTTGTCTAGCCCATTAAACGCTTAATTTATAGCCAATAATCAAGCAGATTTAATGGATGGTTGATTGTCTATGGTTGCATTATGGAATTTTGCCAGAGTCATCTCAAAGATTTTCCAATATTGCCAAATTGTAAATGTCAAATTTAGTAAGATTTATTTTGGCTACAATCTAAACATATCCTAAGTATTATTTATGGGCAACCTAGGACAATGCGACTTGATCTGAGCTTGGGCCTAATTTGTTACCAAGATGGGTGGCTATTAACTCAGCCTAGGGTTGAAAAATTGGCTTATTGCTATTAGGAAAAAGTCCACTTTGACTCTCTTAATTGTACGCCGAATCTAATTCGTATCGCACAACCAGAAAACCGGATAGAACGACTCCCCGAACTATTGAAACCGGTGCGATTTGACTCCCTCAGCGGTATTGGAGGGCGGTTTTACTGACGTGGCGCTGACGTGGCAGTGTTGACCCAGTCTTCGTCCCACGTGGCCTTAAGTGGCATTAGAATTTTAAAAAAAAATTATGGGACCCATCTGTCATTCACAAAAAAATATATATATTATGGGACCCACTGACATGTGGGGCCCACATGTCATCCTCTCTCTCCAACCCTTCTTCCTCTTCCCTTCCCCCCTCTCTCTCCCCTTTCTCTCCCCCTTCCCCATCTACGGCCGAGGAGGCCGGAGACGAGAGGGGCGGCGGCGGGCGGGCGAGGGCGTAGACGATGAGGAAGGTGAAGAGGAGGTTGGCGGCGACACCCGCGGAGACGACGAGGAGGCGGTCGGGGACGGGGCTGTTGCGGAGGAGGTCCGGGTTGTCGGGCGCGAAGTCGGAGTCCGGGTCGTCATCGGGGAGGTGGCGGCAAGGAAGTGGCCTGACTCGTGACGAGGACGATGGTGGTGAGGGCGGAGGCGACAGACTGGACGCTGGCGAGGAGGTCGGACGGGGCGGCGGAGATGGAGATGGGCCTGGAGGAGGAGGAGGGGTGGCGGTGACGGTGGAGGGGGAGGTGTTGCCCGCGCCGCTCGCCGCCGTATCCGCTTCCCCGACATGTCGTCCCCACCGCCGCAGCGGCCGGCAGCTACGGCTGCGCCCCCCCTCCCCCGGCGCGCGACATCCCCGCCTGCGCCGGCCACCGCCGCCTCCCCCCAGCCGCTCCCTCGTGCCTTCCTCGCCGCCACGGCCTCCTCACCCCACCGCGCCCCCGCATCCCAGACATGTCGTCCCCATCGCCGATGCGGCTGGCAGCTACGGCCGCGCCCCCCTCCCCTCCTCCGGCACGCGACATCCCCGCCCACGCCGGCCGCCGCCGCCTGCCCCCAGCCGCTCCCTCGTGCCTTCCTCGCCGCTGCGGCCTCCTCGCCCCACCGCGCCCCCACGTCCTCGACGCCGGCACCACCACCCCCACCCTTCACCGGTACTACCGTCCGATGGGGAAGAGAAAAAGGGAGAGAAAAGATAAAGAAGGGAGAGAGAGAGGGAGGAGGAAGAAGGGTTGGAGAGAAAGGATGACATGTGGCCCCCCACATGTCAATGGATCCCACAATATATTGTGTGTGTGAATGACATATGGGTCCCACATTTTTTTTAATTCTAATGCCACTTAAGCGCCACGTGGGACGAAGACCGGGTCAACACCGCCACGTCAGCGCCACGTCAGCAAAACCGCCCTCCAATACCGCTGAGGGAGTCAAATTGCACCGGTTTCAATAGTTCGGGGAGTCGTTCTATCCGGTTTTCTGGTTGAGGGGTACGAATTAGATTCGGCGTACAATTAAGGGAGTCAAAGTGGACCTTTTCCTTGCTATTATATAGGGGTTGGATAGATGATGCAGGGCCTAAGATAGAAGGCCCATTGGGTCAAAACTACATCAATTCAATTTAATTCAATTCGCTTGTCAAGAACAATTTGATTTGCCAAGAACAACATGGCTTCCTGTCCCATTTTAATTTAATTCAATTCGCTTGTCAAGAGACCAGTAGACGTACTGGTAGCAAAAATTGAGTACATCCATGTTTGCATGGACACCTGTATACTTGTATCGCTCGTAAGACGATGGGGTTTCTTCTCCCTTACAAATAGCACTAGAATTTCCATTGATCGTCAATCTCGTCTGCGCGTGCCAACACACACACGTACGCCATGGCGGTGCCAAGGCTAGCCGTCTTCTTCCTCCTCGCCCTCCTCGCCGTCATGTCGCCCGCCGCGGCGTCGGCGTCGGCGGCGGCGGCGCCGGAGACGTGCGTGCGGACGATGCAGCGGATGCTGTCGTGCCTGGACTTCATCGAGCACCGCACCGACGCGGTGCCGCGGCCGTGCTGCGCGCAGCTGAACGCCACCGTCGCCAAGCAGCCGTGCTGCCTGATGCACGTCCTGCACGGCGACGTGGCGCGGCTCGTCGGCCCGGGGTTCGACACCGCGCGCGCCATGGTCAACGTCACCGCCGCCTGCCTCGGCGACGCCTCCGTCCTCATGTCCATCGCCCGCTCTTGCGCCGGTAATTAACTAATAATCAATTAATCGTGCTTAATCCTGTCTTGATCTCCACTGATCTGATTAAAAGGCGCGAATATTAGGAAAACCTAATATTAAATAATTAGAAGATTTATCGTGCTTAATCTCCACTGATAAAAAAGCGCGAATATTAGGAAAGAACCTATTTGGAAGGAAGAAACTAATATTAAATAATTAGAAAGGGTGAGGCTTCAAACTCGGATCATCTAGCTCACTACCTTATAAAGTTAGCCGGAAGATCCCTGGACGTTTATGAAGATCTCCATTGATTAATTAATATATTTATTTTTTTTTTCAGGCAAGCCGCTGCCGCCACTTACGCCGGAATATCCGTTTACCACCGGAGTGCCGCCGGCGCCTCCGCAGACATCCGGTGAGCAATTTAATTTCTTGCGAGCTTTTGATCGTTAAAATGTAGATTGAACTGGATTTTCATGTTATTTTTGTTGGAGTAGATTGGTTTGTGATGAAATTTAAAAAAGGTTTGGAGAAAATAACGGTGATTTAATTTACGTTTTGAACTTAATTTAATTAATCCGAATGGTATTCGTGCGTGCAGGAGCGACGCGGCTGGAGGGCACGTCGAACACCGCGCTGTTATTTGCACTTGGGGCGGTCGCCATCGCCATGCTACGGATTTAGGTTGCACTCCGTCTGTTCGATGCTGATCTCTAGGATTTATAGTCATATAGATGCTGATCTCCAAGGTTTATTGACAGGAAAGGCTTATCTGCTTGTTATATTTTTTAACTAGTTTACAATTCTGAAATTCTTTTGTGGAAGATAAGCTATGTTTGTTTGTAGCATTGCGAGGTTAACTACATTGAGTGTTCGCTATGGAAACACTAATTAATATACAACTTGTTTTCTTATATTGCATAGCAGAAGCACACGCACACATAACACTACGTACATGCACCCCTAGAAATTCTTTTGTGGAAGATAAGTTATGTTTGTTTGTAGCATTGCGAGGTTAACTACATTGAGTGTTCGCTATGGAAACACTAATTAATGTACAACTTGTTTTCTTATATTGCAAAGCAGAAGCACACGCACATACAACACTACGTACATGCACCCCTAGTGAGTCCTTAACATACGCTCTGTAGATGAAGGCTAGCGACACATCTCTGATCTCTTAGCGAAGTTAAGACTTCACTGTACCCGCCAGGCTACATGACCTTTCGTACTTCATTCATATCTTGGGCAGACGTCACGAGTTATTAGATTTAGGATCATCTAGTGTGCGCCTCATACTGCGACGAACTTTATTTCTTGTAAGAAACACAACCAGAAATTTTTAAAACTACAAATTTTTTACATTGAAACTTTTAAGCTGAGATTCGAACTCTTCAACGTGAAATTTTACCTTCAATAATCTCACGAAATCCATATATATAGTGTGGTTAATCACTCGCGAGCTAAGCGTGCCAGATCACATCACGTCGGCCTCGTCGGCGGCAGGATGTCGGAGGCCAACCCGACCACGACGTCGAGCTCGATCTCGGTCCACGGCGTCCAGCGGCGACCCCTGTCCGCCGGCGGCCTCGAACGCGACGTCGCAGCGCTCCGGCGCGCCAGTCACCTCCGCCAGCAGCGTCTGCGCCTCGCGCATCTCCCTCGCCCCGGCCCCGCCGCGCGAGCGCGACACGACGTCCCTCGCGGCGCGCCCGAGCCGGCGCACGGCGGCGGCGTACTCCGCGGCGCAGGCGGCCAGGCCGTCCCGCCGCGCGGGCGCCGTCTCGCCGCGCTGCAGCCTGGCGATCTTGGCGCCCGTGGCCACGGCGGTCGCGCGGGCGATCCTGGCCGCGATGGCGGCGAGCCCGCGCTCGTCATCGGTGGCGCTCGCCCTGTCCGCCCGCAGCGTCCTGATGCAGTAGTCGTAGCTGGGCCGGTCGCCGGCGGCGTAGAGCTCGCACTTGTCCTGCAGCAGCGTGGAGGAGGACGGCTTGGCCATGGCCATGCACGCGGCGTGCGGGACGAGCAGGAGGAAGAAGACAGCGGAGAGAGTTTGGTGATCGGCCATGACAGACAATTCACAAGTTCTCATTTGATCAACCGATTATAAGAGATGCGGATTTTGCATTGATGGTAAAAACCCGTTAGTTAGGAGGCAATTAATTCGATTGGAACGTCGGTGCAACGTATGATTAATAACCACAAGCGTTAATGTTTCATTTGCTACTACTCCCTCCATCTACTTTTGATAGTCATATTTAATCTTGGCACATAGACCAAGGATAAGTAATTTTACTTATCATCCATTTAAATATGCTACTAGTCATTCCTCGTAAACAAGTGATTCATTAATATTTACATTTCTAAATGCCCATGTAGCCAATCATGTGTAGAAGAATGAAGAGTCATGCATTAAATCTAAGAAAGTCATTAAGATGATAAGTTGTTGGATTGAAATATGCCTATCAAAAATAAAATTTTCAGATTTGGAAATATAACTATCAAAAGTAGATGGAGGGAGTACGTTAGTACACATCATGATGAGCTAGCTAGCAAGCAAAAAACCTCGAAATGTGCGGTTTCCATGGAGGCAGCCCAAGAGATGCCGGTTGTTAAGCGGTGTGCACACTGCACACGCTTGTAGTAGAGACTTATGGACGGTCGCTACGGCTTACGACAACACCGCTGCCCCCTGTCAAGCTCATCAAAGTTATTTTCTGTAGTTCAGTCTCCCTTTCGGCCTTTCCTGTCGAAATCAAGAAAGCCTATATCTATATCCTATGCACGATGTTTGCTTTAGGCGATAGTACCAGGATTCTATTCCATATATACATATTTGAAATTCATCTTTAATAAATTGTACTCCCCGCATCCTATAAGATAAAGCATTGTCAAACTTGACACAGTCTTCAAAACTAATATTTAACTTAAAATTTCTCATATATTATAAGGTTTATTGCAACAAAATTATAATCATCTTAAAGTAAATTTAAATGTCAATCCAATAATATTAATTTTAATAAATAAAATTTAATTTATATTATAATAATTATTCGTCAAATGTTTTTAAAGTTGAATCCTGTAATATGTGCACGTCTTATATTATGAGATAGAGGGAGTATTTGTTTAAAAAAGGGCAAGATATTATTGATAATCACTCTAGTCATAAATATTTATCATTTAAGATAGAGTAAATTTCAGAAAACTATCAGTTTGCTGCAACATTAGCGACATGTTTCAGTTTGCTGCAACAATAGTGTGGGAAATTATTACAAAACTGCAACTTTTACGTTATATGTTGTTACAGTTGTCACCTATATGTACTGTAGCAGCATATAACGTAAAAGTTGCAGCTTTGTGATAATTTCCCACGCTATTGTTGCAGCAATCTGAAACATGTCGCTAATGTTGCAGCAAACTGATAGTTTTGTCACTAAAGTTGCAGTTTTTTGAAATTTATTCTTTAAGATAAGGTAGCTGTAGTTAGTACATTCACGCGGACATGCGTATTACTTTGTATAGAAAACAGGTGGAACAAAGTTTAGATTAAAAGCAAGATGTTCTCATTTTTCAATTGAATGTTCTTTGACTATTTTTTTAAGAAACATCGTGAAACTTTATTGGTAGCACCGAGTCCTCGCTTTAGTTGGTTCATATGCTTGCAATTTGTTATAAGCTTGCTTATGATTTGCTAAAACTGTTGTAAGTTGTAACTATGTATAGTATTATATAGTATAGTCGTAGTATACCAATGTAATTACACTACAACAATAGCGTAACTACACTGTAACCTATATAAGTTACAAAGTTGCATATATTTTATAGTTGTATACATGTTATGAAAAAGTACAAATTACCCCTCTAAACTATTGCAGTTGACCGAATTACCCCTAAACCCGAAAACCAGACATTCCTCACCCTGAACTTTTAATACCGAACGAATTACCCCCTTACCCAATCCAGAGCAGTTTTGTCCTACGTGGTGTACGCGTGGAAATCCAGTCAACATTTTATTTTTTAAAAATAGTGGGACCCACATGTCATACCCCCTCTTTCCCTCTTCCTCTATCTCTCTCTCGGGCGCAAAGCAGGCACAGCGGCGCGGGAATGGGAGGTGGGCGGCGGCGTGCCGGGATGGGCGGGAGCGAACGGGTGGAGGCGGTGTCAATTGCGGCGGGTACGACGAGGAGGAGGAGGCCATGGTGGCGGTGTAGTGGCCCGTGGCTATGCAGGGGCTCGAGCACAACAAGGGGATGGCACACGGCAGCGCGGTGGCTTGAGGAGGAGCAGGAGGCGATGGCCTCTGCACGCGGTGGCACGGGGCCCTCGGACCATGCGGTGACGGCGCCGCACGGTAGAAGCTCAAAGACGACGACGCTCTCAGGCAAGCGATGGCGCTAACCGTCTCATGCCGCCGCCTGCTCGGGCACAGCCAAGCCACCGTCGAGTTGCTGCTCGTTGCCCACCGTGCATTCCCGCGCGCCGGCGCCCACCTCCCGTCCACACGCTGCACCGTGCGTGCCACTGTGCACGTGGAGGGATGGGTGGCGGCCGTGAGGCGAGGGGGCGGAGGCCGCGGCGGCGATGGCGAAGGGGGACGGCGAGGGGGTAGAGGAGAAGGACGCCTCCCACGTCCACTCCCGCTGGCCGCTCTAGAGGATGAAGGCCTCCACATCCACGCGCCGGCGTCGCTCCCGAGGATCAGGCGTGGTGGATCCTCGCGCCGCCCTCACTCCTGCTGCTGCTGTTACGCCTACGTCCGCTTGAGTGCCGGCCCACGCGCCGCCGCCCACCGCGCGCCACCGTCGTCTGCCACCCCCGCGCGCCACTTTCCGCCGCCTGCCCCTCTGCATCGCTGTGCACACTTGTGCCCGCTCGAGAGAGAGAGAGAGATTATGAAGAGATGAAGTGGAGGAATGATGTGTGGGTCCCACTATTTTTTTTACAAGAAAATGTTGACTGGACTGCCACGCGTACGCCACATAGGATAAAACCGCTCTGGATTGGGTTGAGGGGGTAATTAGTCCAGTATTGATAGTTCAGGGGTGAGGAATGTTTAGTTTTTAGGTGGGGGGGGGGCAGTAATTCGGTCGCCGCGATAGTTTGGGGGGTAATTCGTACTTTTTCCTATATGTTATATTAGGTAAAGTTTGGAACTCCACCTCCCCGCACGAAAACGTGGTGGTTTATTAATGTATAACTAATTAAGTATTAGTTAAAAATAACTTTAAAAATAGAGTACTAGTTACTCTTCAAACAAATTGAATAACTAGTTACTCTAAAAATAACTAATTCTCGGCATACGGGATGGCCGATAACATCGTACGTTTAATTAGGCAGAAATTCTAATGATCAAACCAAATTGAATTTAACCGGCTGTCGTATAGACAGCCCCTTTATTTAAAAAGGGTAAATTGAAGTGAAATACACAGAAGTCCCAAATGCAAGCGCACAAGGCCGGCCGTTATCTTAGGCACGATATAATAATTAAGGCAAAAAAAAGCCCCGCGCGCGCATATATAGCAAAGCTAGACGAGTCCAAGATACGCCGCCGTGAGAGGCTTGAAGACGCCGTCGGACTCGAGCGCCGCCGCCATCCGCGGCCATATGTAGGCGCTCACGAGCCACGACCCGTCGCCTCCCGGGCGCACTCCGACGGCCAGCGTCCCGCAGCCCATCTTGCCGTGGTCCCAGATGGGCATGGCGAGCGCCGCCTGGCCGAACCCGAAGTCGGTGTCGAGCGGGAACGACGCGAACACCGTCTGGTTCACCGTCCGACGGTGACCGTCGGCGAGCCCAGCCCGAGCCCACCCTTCTCCATCACCTTCTCCGTCTTGTGCCCCACCACCCAGTCCACCAGCTCCTGCAGGTACTCGTCGTAGTCGATCGACGCGATGCTCTCCCGCACCATGGCCGCCACCTCCGCCAGCGGCCTCTCCAGGACCTCCCCCACGGCCGCGTCGCCGAGAGCGTACGACGTCACGTTGCCGCAGTAGCCGCACATCGCCGGGACCAGCGCCGGCGACGCCACCCGCCGCCGCGCGTCCACCCACCACCCCATGCAGCACCGCTCCTCGGGCACGCACGACGCGGCCACCACGCCGGCGAGCGCCTTCCACAGGTACGCCGACACCGCCTGCACCCGCGACGCGCGCTGCTGCTCGGCGCCGGCGCTCGCCGCGTCGCGCAGCCGGGCGATGTCCCCGGCCTCGATGTAGTACAGCCGCTCGACGAAGCTGTCGTGCGCGGTCAGGGCGTTGACGAGCCGGCCCCCGTCGTCGTACGCCGTGAACATGGCGTCGATCGCGGCGCCGTACGACGGCGGGCTCCGCGGCCGGAACACCGACCGGTCGTGGTTAATCGGCAAGCCGTCGGAGATCCTCCCCGTCCGCGCCAGCTCCGACCACATCCTGACGATCATGGTGCTGACCTGACCGTCGTGGAGGAGGTTGTAGTTCCCCCACACGACGGAGAAGCTGCCGCAGGCGAACCGCAGCAGCTGCACCGACAGCGCGCGGCACGTCCTTGGGGTACGGAACCATTACCCTCTTCACCGACTAGTTGGTCACGGCATAGTTCAGGCTGCCCAGCGCGACGTCGACCTCACCGACGACGAGCTCCGCGCCCTGGTTGTGGCAGTGCAGCTCGGGGAGGCCGGTGGCAGGGTCCACGACGATCCGGCCGGCGAGAGGGTAGAAGTGGTTGAGCAATGACGGGAGAACGGCCTCGAAGGTGGCGACGACGGCGTCAAAGTCGCCATCACCGGCGTTGGGAAGCTTGGTTGGGTAGAGGCAGACGATGGAGGCTTGATAGCAGACTAGCAGTTAGGGTACAGGTCGAGGTTGGAGACGGCGGCTACGTGTGGCTGGATGGAGGCGTCGGAGGCCTTGACGAGGCGGCGGCTCACGACGCGGATGGCCATCTTCTCGCCGGCGGGAGGAGCAGCCGCCTCTGGCGCCATGGCAGTCGATTTCAAGCTAGGAGCTATACCGGCTACTCGATCGAGTATAGCTCCTGTCTCTTGAAGGAGCAAACGTAGAAATGGAGGGGCAATATAAAGGCACACTTCCAGTGTACAAATGCATGGAAACCCTAATACTGCAGGAGTGCTCCGGGGCGCAACCGCGCAAGGTCGCGTGCCCCCATCCCAACTTAGCGTTAAGCTGAAATGACTTAGCGTTAAGCACAATGCTTAGTTTTAAGCGTAGATTTTTATAATAAGATAGGATGGCTTGCCACAAGTACGTACTATGGTTAGTAAAACGTTGATCACACTTGAGGCAAGCTTAGCTACAAAATTAAGTCAATGACAAGCAAGCCCATTTGATTGAAAAATATGCCTGGGACAAAGTTTATAGACCGAAAGACAAAAGAGGTTTAGGTGTTATAAATCTATACATTCAGAATGTGGCTCTGCTCCTAAAACATCTTCACAAATTGTACACTACTGTTGATTTGCGCTGGGTAAGACTTATTTGGGATTCATATTACATGACAAAAGTTCCCTATTTAATTTTCCACCTATCTGACATATACAGAGCCATATCACAATGCACAATCTAGTCTAGGACTACTGTTTTGTTCTGGGATGATCTTTGGAATGGGAAAAATCAGAAAGTATAAGTTTCCAGGTCTTTTCTATCATACAACTGTCAGATGGGAGTTGGTGTGTTTTTATAATAATGTGCATCTTGAAGATTGTTTCAACCTTCCACTTGAACCACATGTTTATATACAATATTTGTAGCTAGAATCAGAGTTAGATGGTTTAGGACCTAGCACATAGAGAGGTGACTCTTGGTTTTTTTTTTTTTTTGGAATTCCCTAACCTTTTACGCTCATAAGTTCTATAGGCCTAATTTCATGAGAATCTCTGTTCCAAGACCTTTCTAGTGGATCTGGAAAACCAAATGTGTGAAAATGATCAAGATTTTCATGTGGCTTGATCTGTTGTGGGATAGATTAAACACAAGGGACATGCTTGATAAGAGACATTGTGCACCGGATGATGTTGTTTTAAATTGTGGTATCTGTGGAGGCCCCAGGGAAACATTGATTCATCTCTTTTTCTCTTGCCCTTACAGTAAAAGTTGCTGGGAACATTTGGGCATCAGATGGAACACTACTACACTTAGCACTAGAGCACTAAACTAAACTTTAGAGAGAGAGATCGAGATCAAGTCTTGCTTGAGTGCGTGTTGAAAGTAAAATGAGCTCCTCCTGAAATAGGCAAGTATGACGGTTGTAATTGATGCGAATTGTATGAAATGCCCCACAACCACCATCAGCAAGCAATCCTGGACGTCCACATGTAAGGCCAACTGGAGCTGGCGTCACCAGGGTTCGGTCGAACCTGGGCCGGCCCAGCAGGCCTCCACACTTCCCAGGGTCACTGACAGGTGGGTCCCTATGACGGTTGTGGCAATTATGGCGGTTTCCGGGACGGTTGCACCTGACAAGTGAGCCCATCTTATCCTTAAGCTTGCTTAGAAGTGAAGTTTTCTCATTTCTTCTCCATTTATGTATTAATCTCTGCAAACAAATAATACTCCAAGTACAGGTGTAACTATGTTATTCTAAAATAAATATCCATTGCAAGCATAGTTAGTTCTCCTTTATTTTAGTTATATTGACGGTTGAAATTGGTCTATAACGACCGTCAACAATGTCGTTAAGAAATACCAATAGTGACAAAAAAAATACTACACCACATGAGAGCTGGCTAAAAATAATTAATTTTGTCATTTTGTACTTTGTGCTTCTTATTAAGTGCTTAATGCTTTAAATTACTTCCAATATTAGTATATTACTACTTAATCACTGCTTTAGTATTTAGTTATGTTGTCTTGTTAATATATACTAAATTAAAATGCTCATTTTTAAGGTGAAATAAATAAGTTAGACCATGTGAGCGAGCTTGACAAGCCAGTTTACACTTAGCTGGCCAAGGTAGACTTTTCTTCCAAATTCAATGTAAAGAGTTATAAAATTTTTTTAAGAAAAGAATGATAATGTAGAGTATAGTGATACCTAAACACTCCAGTAAAAATCAAGTTCAAATATGACCTACACATTGAAAATAAGATAAATTCATGTATAAATAGTACCACTATTATTCATATGCTGCTAAATTTATCTTTTTTTATATCTCAATTTGTGAGTTGAGTTAGGAACTAAATTTTTTTTTGTAAAGTAGTGTATATATATATGTGTGCGTGCGTGTGTGTGTGTGTGTGTGTGTGGGCGTGTGTGTGTGTCATATGAATTTGTAATTTAAAAAAAAAAGATTCATAACTATTTGAATGGTTTTTGACCAATGTGGGATTGATAGGTTAAGACAGTTTCCCGTTGAAGTAGGGTTAAAAACACAACCAGTTTTGGACTTCAGGGTAAAAAAGGGGACTTTGAGCATAGTAGGCAAAAAGTAAACTTTATCATTTTATACTTAGTGATTCTTATTTAGTACTTAATGATTTAAGTTACTTCCAAGATTAGTACATCACTACTTAATCACTACTTCACCATTTAGTTATATTATCTTGTTAATATATATTAAATTCAAATGCTAAAATTTTTTAGGTGCAATAAATAAATTAGACAGTGTCAGCGAGCTTAAAATAGCAGTTTATACTCAGCTTGCCAAGCTACACTTTTAACTCATTTAAGTTAACGAGCAGAGCTACCTTATTATTTAACCCTACAGCCAAATGGAGGACTCTCGTATTATCTAGTTATCTCTAATGTCTAGTTTACATATTTGAGCTTTTCTAACATTAAAAAAACATCCCCCTCCCCACGCGTGTTCCCATAAAATCATTTGTATTATGGGACGGGTACCAGATACTACCACTCTCCCACTCAACAATATAAAACTTAAATATGCTACTTTTCTTGAGAAAGAAAAGTAAAAATTCTAGAACAATGTAACTCATACATTGATTGACACCTTAAATATAATAAGCACAACACAATAAAGGTTCATACATTAAACAATATCTTAAAAAGAACAAGAAATTAATAAAGGCTCCCACACCACAGGGACGACTCAAGACTCAGATGTTCCAAACAAATCAAAGTATAGGCATATAGCCATACAAACTGCAATTGTAGGTGAGAGTTCAACTTAATTGGAGAAATTCCAAAAAGAAAAAAAACTCAGAGATGATAATAATAATAATAATAATTATTAAACGAGTGATGATCCGGCAATACTGCAAGCAAGCCTCAGTTGATCCACCTGGCCATGTCAGGAATGCCACCACCCTCAGATGGCATCACGAACTGGTTAGACGCCATCTGGATGACGCCATTGTTGTCCATGCCGCCGGTTCTGCCACTGGTGCCGACGTTGCTTGGGCCTACCTGGGCGCTGATCCCGTGGGGTTGCACCGGCAGCTGGCCATACTACAGTTGCCCCTCGCATCGAGCTGTAGGCAGTATTCACTAGTGTTGAGATGTGGCACCACCGGTGTTATGTTCAACAAGTTCAAGTCTGGCTGTGGTGGGTGCGGTGTAGCCTGGTTAAGTAGGTCAAGGAACATCACCAACCCTAGTGGAGTAGATCCACCCAACGCATGCACTGTGGGTGGGGTTGGACTTGCACCGATCGTCCCACCGGTACCGTACCCACCGATATCGAATGATGCGGGTGGTGCTGTCTCATTGGGCAGTGGGTGCTGGCAGCTACGGATGTACTCTTCGAGGAGGGAAGGCTGCCTTGGCACTGCTTGCTCATTGTTTTTCTTCCTCAGTCGGCGCTTTGAGTTTAGGCTTCGCTTGGTCGCGTTCCAGCGGTTCTTGACGGTGTTCTCCGACCGGCCGGGGAGCGACCTGGCAATCGCTGACCAACGGTTCCCATAAGTTTGATGAGCTTTGATCAGCTTCCTGTCCTCTTCCTCTGTCCAGATGCCTTTCTGCAGTGTAATTTATATTTGCTACTTATTAATATTGGATGCATCTATATGATTAACAGCATAAGGCAATTAAAGGTTAATGTATCCGGAACTTTACGGATTCTTATTTAATGATTTTCTTAATTTGAGCACATTTATTGAGAGATAAAAAGCATATATACATATACATGATAATGCAGGGTACTGCCAAATAATGTTATTGATTACTCTGGCGACAAATAAAGAATATATTAAACCTAGTAGAATGTCATATTGCTTGCTTATAGTGATAAAGCAGCATATAAAAACATAGGCATTGGACTAATAAGTGTCTAAGACATTTTTAACTATAAGTGTCCAAAACATTATGCTTAATTAGCATAGACAACAACGACTAAGAACATAAATAAACTTGGTGGAGTACTGTCCAGACGAGTTCCCTAGGACTAAGTATGGGACACATTAATGGCCATAATGAAGAAATTCCCATATTTATTATCTAGAACAAAAGTTATGCAATATGACTACCGTACTCAGCAGTTAATAACCGGTCACCTTGGAATGGAGGGATGAAATTTCTAGGATTTTTACGTAAATCCGAAAAGGAATTCCACCTCAAAAATTGCATTGAGAAAAAAAACTAGATCCCTTAGATCTACACATGTAACCAAAGGAATGTCACAAGATCCATACCTTAATGTCCGGGTGCAGATGGTTGGTCCATCTCTCGCGGCACTGCTTCCCTATCCGACCGGGGAGGCTCTTTGCAATCTCTGCCCACTTGCGATCTCCATGGTGTCGCACCATCTGTCTAAGAACTCTACAATCAAGAAAACACAATGATAGTACACGATCTCTTCATGAGAAGGAAGAGATGCCGAGAAACAAGAGTAAAAATCTGAGTCGAAGCCGGATGATCCGTCACTTACTCATCCTCTTCTCTTGTCCACCCTCCTTTGATCAACCCTGAGTTGCTGTTACTAGATGCAGCTTGCAACTGCTGTTGTTGAGGCACCACGGCAGCATCTTCTGGAAAGTTAGCAACCAAGTTGTAATTAGCGGTTGCCAGACCCCTCTCCGGCATAAGAGAGCTTGACGGAGCAATGCCTATGCTAGCAACAAGACAACCTAAGTTGGGGACCCCCATAGTGATTGGAGTACCATGAGTGTTTTGGTAGCAGGCCCCACCATTGCTAGAGGCCATAAAGTGACTATCCGGCATCCTGTCGGTTGCCATCACCAACTCCTGGTTGAGGAAGGAGTCAATCGTAGCCACTATAATTCACCTCCCAAGGAAGGAAGCAAGGGCCAGAATTGTCGATGGGGGAGGATATTAGGGAAGGCAAATCAACCTCAATATGGAGCAAATCAACAAGGGGATTGGTCAGTGCGAAGATGGGGACTTGACTTCCCTCATAATATAGGGGACGCAGGGATACATCGGCCGTTCATATCTAGGTCAATCCAACGGCCACAAAGAAAGCTAGAGTATGGCGTTCCATGTATGCCGAGTGCATCAACATCTCAAAAAGGTTAGCTATCACACTAAATGGTCTAGTAGTTATGAGCTGCCAATAGGATAAACATTGATCAAAGTGATAAGGTTATGCTATAATGGCTAGAAATGCAAGCCTAAAATGCTCAATTTGTCGTGGGTATATGTTTGTATCTACAACCGTGCAAAACACTTACATGTGTTCATCCCATACCAGCTATGATTTAGAATGTTGCGTGTAGCTCAGTGTGTGCATCTCATTGTCTGCTTGTTGGCTTATTAGCTAGAACAATTTTGAGTTGGTTTTTTGTTTTTTTTTCAGTTATGTCTATTTTCCAACCTTGGCTTCTAAGCCGCGAACAATACATATATAAAAGTTGTACACATAAATTATTTTTGGTTGCTTCATTTATTTTTCAACGGCTTATCAGTGGTAGTTCAATCGATCCTGAACAAGCTGTTACTATTCATCATTAGTTGTTGATCACGATAGAAATCATAAATAGTGTTGTCATCGCATCAACTGGATTCAAGAGTTCATTCTTATCATTAAGAAGAAGAGGGTTAATGTCATTGCCATGGCTTATATATATGGAATTCTTTATCTTTAGAAGAATCAAGGAAAAAGTAGTACAAAAATGGTGAACATTAACTAACCTACAAGATAATATAACGTATGAACTAAATTAACATATTTATGTATTGCCCAGGCCCAAAAATGATTCAAACCTAACTCCAAAAAATGATTAAGCCTAACTCACTTTTGGACCATACCTACACTCTGTGCTTTCGTCCTCAGTCCTCACTTCACGCAAAAAGGTTCAAACATGTGTTACTTGTCATTGGGTGCTATCCAACTTATAAACATGTCCATCTCAACTAAGTAGCGATGTGGGACTAAAGTCCAACACTACATGTGGTACTGCGCATTTCAACTTCTGCACACACTGCACTCTAGCTAGCTTGGCCCAAAAACCACCAAAGCAGCCCACTAGCACTTCTCTTTATCTCTTTCTTTTTTTTCTTCAGTTACTCCGGGGTGTCATAGTTTATCAGTCAGAGATTAGGCATTTTAATCTTGGCACATGATAAAGATTATTTGTAATATTAATGAAAGCACGTACTAAAGTGTCCATGTTGTTACATAGCTTTCCCATGTGTCCACACCTAGTATCCAGAACTGGTGGCAAGTTCAGGTTCATCGTCCCTAGCTACAGAGCGGTACAACAATTTTGAGGTACATCCTAATTCCTAGTGGGTTTGAGCAGCTCAGGCCTTGTACGACGTTTGTTGGACTTAAACTTAATAGTCCAGTGTTGTACTCAATGACGTTGCACAAACAATGTAGTGGTGGTGGTGGCCAAATCTCGATGACCAGCGAGTGTTATACGTGGATGTACCCTTTGAACATGTAGAGTTGTCTGGCATCATCTGCTCTTGTTTTCCATCATCATCTTCTAGCAATTTTAGTTTAGGTTCCGCTTGGTCACATTTTGATGGTTTTTTATGGCTTTCTCCAACTAGTCTGGGAGGCACACCTAGAGATTGCATATAAATGAGTCCTATAAGTTTTGTGCACATTGATCAGGAACCTATTAGATACTCATCCCCTACACCTCCTCAGTCAGAGAATTTTGGATATACGATGTCATCAAAAGTGGGTATCACTGGAATGACATCCCGCTAATGGGTTTCGATAAAAAGCCACTCTCATCATCGAGTGTATGCTGAAACTCCATTTCTGCCATTTTCCAAAATTAAAATGGCTTTCCCATTTTTTTTCCAATATTTGCCATCTAAAATGTCCCTGATTGTACTGCTTCAGTCAGGTCAGGTCGAGCATGCTGCATCATATTCCATCAGTGTCTCTCTCTTTCTCTTCTTCAGTTTTTACCGGAACCAGGCCACGCCAAGAGGGAAAGGGATGTGGTCAGGCACCAGGAGGCATGGGCTCACTGTGCTATACCTCATGGGCTCCTTCCTCCTCAGTTGCTCCAACCATCGAATCTCCGTTGCCCTTAGTTTTCATCAGTTGGTGAAAGAATGTTCAAGGAAAGTTGCATCTGAAGATTTGAAGTGCGGAAACAAAGCATTGTGTTGGATTGTGGCTGCTACCTTCAGATCCTATTGGGCTGGTTCAGCATCCATGAATTGTGGTTGCTTTCTTGGCTACCAAGGCCCAACACTACGCTGGGGGGAGCTCAGTGTGTGCCTCTCACACAATCAATTGCATCACTGAATTGCATCCAGAATTGTTGCTCACAAAGCATCCAATTTGATGACTTTGATATCTTGTTTAGACAATTTTGAATTGATCCTAATGTGTGCTGAATCGATCGTTTCTGCCAAAAAAAAATTCCCGTTTGGACTGAATCAATCCCAATATGGGGCACTTTGGTCATGATGCCTCTAAAAAGTGGCAAACACATTTTGAGTTGGGAGAAATGACGAAAATGGGATTTCAGCTAAATGCTCCGATTGAGAGTTGCATTTTATTGTATCCATTTTCAGGTTAATACTGGTTGCATCACCATGATTGGCGACACAAGAAAATTAAATGTACTATACACTTGGAAAACTTTTCCATGATAATCAACTTCGATCTCTGTTGACGGTCCTTAAATTATAATATCCGACCGTCAATGCCTGCATATAATGATATAAAATATGGTATCCAACTTAGTGGTAGGGACTATTACTAATCATTTCCACTAGTGTTCGTAAATATGTGTATGTAGGTATTTTATGAAGAAAACACACCCGTCATGTGATAAAATACACCTCCGAACAATCAAGATGCGTTTATACGGATTGGAGGTCCCATAAGTCAGTAAAAACCATTTAGGATTGAGCCCAACCATAGTATATGATGTTGAGGGCCCATTAAGAAGTCTCCCCACCAAAGGGGAGGCCCGGGAGGTGGCCCAGAAGTTTGGCCGAACTCCGGGTCCGACCGAATTTTGTCTCTCTTTCCTTATCTCTGGAACACCTTTTGTATATGTGTCATGATTATGTATAAGACTTGTAATATGGTGGACCCTGCCAAGCCCAACCAAAAACTATTGGGTATGCCTTATGTATAACACTGATAATCTATCACTACTTAAAAAAACAAGTTGTCCCCATAAGTCATCTACAAAGGCTTGTGAAAATCGCATATTTACATGGTACAAAGTCATTCGCCCATGAAGAAACAATTTCATGTGCGGTTCTTAATAGCCGCTTGTGAAAATGAATTTCCAGCTTCTGATTTTTTTTTACGCATGAATATATGCGCGTCTAGTATATAGGAGTTGAACTTGGAACCAGGGTTCCCCAAACCGTTTTTTGGGTGGTTACTGCCATCCCACGGTTTGGTGGTTACCGCACGGTTATCACGAAAACCGTGCGGTTACCGTGAGACATACCATGATTTTAAAAACTGATAAGGTTATCGCAGGTGATAACCGCGATAACTATGTAAACCATGCCTGGAACTCTCACATTCACTCAGCGTGTAGTCTCCTCACCATCTTGCCTATGATGCATTTCATGACTGGGATGGATGTTGTTCTTTTTAAAAGAGGCATTCCATTTTTTGTCTAAATTCTCATATATAGCAGTAGTAAAATTATAGCGTAAGTAGTAAGTTTTAAAATTTATAGTGCAAAATATATGTACTTTAAAATAAAAATATTGATTTGATGAGAAATGTAACATCATAAATATATAGGTACTCAAGAAAATACTATTCCCATCTAAACTTTAACAATTTTTGTTCTAGAGTTTTTTGGATGGAGGGAGCATCATATGTTCTTTACTTTCGAGGTCCAAGAGGAAACAATTTTCCAAAAACCACCCGCCTGTATAAATATCATCATTTCCACATGTGGTCATCGTAAGCAGATGAAAATGTGTGTATTTTTAGAGGCGGTGGTCCAAAGGCGACCGCTTCTATAGAAATATAGAAATGTGTGCATTTCCAGAGGATATGGCCCAAGGCGACCGCCACTTAAAAAAGACTTTCTGCATGCCATCTTTCACGCAGGACTGTCTAAAAAATCTTTGGTTGAAAACATTTAAATATGTAATTATACGGCAATATAATGAGTTATAATGGAACTTTTTATATAATATGTATATGAGTATTAAAAACATTGCATATAACTTGCACATAAATTATATAAAGAGTAAAATACATGGCCGGTCCCTAAACTTATGTGGTGGTGTCACTTAGGTCCGTGAACTTGAAAATTGCACGTTTAGGTCCATGAACTTGGTTTAATGTACCACCCCGGTCCAAACGTCCTTCGACTGTGTTTGACCGCCAACGTGACATGCCACGTAGGCAACACTTTTGCTCTTAGCCCCCTCCATATTACAACACGTCACATATATCTCCTCGTGGTTATATAGTGACACCAGAATCCCAAAAAAATCCTCAAATTGTTCTTCCCTCTCATTCTTCTCCTTACATGTATAGAAAATGATGTCCCGATTAGCAATTGACATTGCTCTGCGCTCCAAAATGACTTTATCCTTGCACAACGGACACTTGATCAACAACACCTTCTTTCGGTGACTTCAAGACAGGGACGAGCTTGGAGAATCCATGTAGATGCCTAGCGTGCAAGACGCACTGCGCTGCTTCCCGCCGCTAATCCGGCTGCACTGTGTCACTGCTAACCCCGTTGCACCGTGCTGCCTTTTGCCGCTAATCTCACCGTCGAGGCCGCCACAACCGCTACCTCTCGGCCTTCTTCCGCTAACCTCACCATCGAAACCCTAGCCGATTTAGGGATATTTTGGGGGATTTGGGTTGAATGCACTGGTCAGGGCAAGTTATGTGCGAACATATATATGGAGGGGGCTGAGCACAAAAGTGTTGCCTACGTGGCATATCACGTTGGCGGTCAAACATAGTCAAAGGACGATTGGACCGGGGGTGGTACATTAAACCAAGTTCATAGACCAAAACGTGCAATTTTTAAGTTCACGGACCTAAGTGACACCACACCACAAGTTTAAGGACCGGCCATGTATTTCACTCTTATATAAAAATTACAATAAATTTACACTACCATATAATATAGTTATATCTAGAAGTTTTTTAAAAAGGTTGCGTCGGTTTTTTAACGATTCCCTTTTAATGTGCCTACCCTCAATGTATTGCATACACCGACCAGGTTACCAGCCAATAACATTTTTACAATAGTAAAAATTTCAAATATATTCTAAATCACTTAACATGTAAATACCTAAGAGCAAGTTTAATAGTATAGCCAACTACTAGCTCTAATTTATCTATAGCCAATCTAATAGCTCATTCATACAATAGTTACATAGTACACTATTAATACCTGGTCTCACCTGTCATACACACCCTGCGTCTTGGAGTCCGTGCTGCAGCTGGCTACAAATCTGTAGCCCGATGCCATTCTCTCTCCTTATTTATCTCCTTAAAATATGTTTACAGCTAATTTATAGCCTGCTATTGTACCTCTCTAAAAATATCTCGTATCACTCAACAGACGGTTACTTAATATGTACTCCCTCTATACTTATAAAGGAAGTCGTTTAGGACAATATTTAAGTTAAACCTTGGGAATATAAATCATGAATAACTCTCAAGTTATTGAGTTTGAAAATGTAAAAATTATATGAATAGATTTGTCTTAAAAAGTACTTTCATAAAGGTATACATATATCACTTTCCAATAAATATTTTTATAGAAAAAAGAAGTCAAAGTTGTGTTTTGAAGACTGTGTCGCTGTCCAAAACGACTTCCTTTACGAGTACGGAGGGAGTACTCCCTCTATCCCGTAATCATTGCATTGCAATTTATAAAAGTAGAGAATAAATGTATTGGGAGTAGATAAAGTGGGAAACAATTAGCATTGAGATTTGATAAAGTGGAGGAATAAATGTATTAGAGCAAGCTTAATAGCAGATCGAGCTAACTCCTAACTATTAACCTATGTTAGAGCCAATATATATAGATTAGTTAGAACATCACCAACAAATTACCTATAATCTTTCCCCAAAATTATTTTTTTGGTTTTCCTAAACTGAAAATAGAAAGTGAAAAAACTCCTCCCTCCAACAGATAGCCTAAATTCAATCCTCGAAAATTAAAAGTGTGCCCTTATGTTAAACTACTAACAGAAAATTCCGTTTTTGTTTCTTTCATACGCAGAAAGATCGCTATCTCCCACGCGCGGGAACGGGAGGAGAAAGGCGGGGAGTGCAAGATTGGGAGCGAGTTTCGCGCCCGTATATAAATGCAGCGAGGAATCGGGAGAAGGGAACTGCAAAACTCGGGTAGGAGAGTAGGGCATCTGTTGGAGCTGTTCTTTTACTAAAATCCCTCAAAATCAATTTTTGGAATCATATAGGTAGACTGTTGGTGATGCTCTTAGAGCAGTCACAACCCTCCACCTCAGCTGGTGTCGAAGCATTAAATATACTATCACATAAGCAAAAAGTTGAAATAGCAAGAGAGTTAATGAGAAGAGGGAAAAAGATGAAGAAACAATTTCTCATACAAGAATCCAGCTCTACACAAGAATCAAGAACGAAAATAAAGAATAGGTGGATTAAATTAGAGAAGAGAGGTGATTGGATGAGAATTTAGTTTGATGACACCACCCATTCGGCATACAGTAACTATACCTAGTGTATTTATGACATGGCAAGTATGGAAACTGTTTTGCAGTGTTTGGATTGAGATTGCCCTTATAAGGTAAGCTTTACTTTTTTTTTCTCCCCTCTCTTCCTCTTACTTATGCATTTAATGTATTTACCTTAAAACATATGTAGAACTAGCTCTTATATAAGAACCAACACCTTTTATTTTTTTTCTCTCCTGCACATAAATTTATAGTAATTGGTTTATAGGCCGTTATTAGAGAAAGTTTAATAGTAGGCTATAAGTCAACTGACTTATGTGGAGGAGAGAGGATTTGAAAATTGAAGAGGATTGTCTCTCATACAAAAGCTAGCTATTTACATATTCCTAGATGAATAAATTAAATGTATAGGTAAGAGATAGAGAGATGAGAAGAAAAACAGAGATAACCTTATAGCTGATGTAATCATGGCTACGATAGATTCAACCATTTTTCACATCATAGGCAACTAGAAGATATCAAAGATCAAGTTGTAGAAGTTCTGAATCTAATTCGGCCACCTGCAACAACATTGACTTCAAACGGCTGCCAAGCATACGAGCTCCGTTTTTGACTCGTAAGTATTTGATGGAAACTCTTGGGATCCTCTTTCCAATGGATCCATCCTCATCCCCAAATTCCATCCATGTTGGCCACAGTCACAGAAACAAGGTGTTATGTTACCTATAGGAAAAAGTACATCGAAGGTCCGTCAACTTGTCATCGAGTTATAAAATCGTCCCCCAACCGCAAAACCAGATATGACATCCCTCAACTTACAAAACCGTTCACTTTAGGTCCTTCGGCGGTTTTAACCTCGGTTTTATCCGACGTGACGGCTGAATCAGCGTGGGACCCACGTGGGCCCCACCTGTCAGGATGCCATGTCATCATCTGATCTCTTTCCCCTCCTCTCCCTTCCACCTCTCTCTCTCTCTCTCTCTCTCTCACTTTTCTCCTCATTGGACAAGCCGGCCGGCGGGTGGGGGAGGAGGTCGCCAAATTGTAGCTATGATCAACTCACCGAAAGATCGTGCCGACCAAAGTTGTGAGCGTATCAAGTGGACCTCATGGTTTATCAATAGCTTATCTAGTCTTTCCGTCCCAAAATATAACAATATTTAGCCTCTAGGGATTTGTCCCAAAATATATCAACTTCTTCATCAACATTCTCTTCCCAACAAATCACAACCCTCCACCATTCAATTTTCCCACCTACTTTCACTTATTATCCAATCACAACATTCTTCCATTTAATTCTACCAACATTTTTAATAACCGTGTCCAACCCTAAATATTCTTGCATTCTGGAACATTCTGGAACCGAGATAATAATATACTCTCTATCATAGGTGGTGTTCTTTTCTCCTAAAAATAAAGATGGAGATGAAAATTAAGTTTTTTACGCAAAACGAGGTGATATTAACATATGATTGATTGAGTTTAATTATTACAAACTTAAAAAATAAATTAATATGATATTTTAGAACAACTTTCGTATAGAAAGTTTTCGCACGAAACATACCGTTCAGTAGTTTAAAAAGCTTAACACGAAAATCTTAATCTCATCCACTCGTACAGCTCAACAGACAGCACTACAGCAGGCGCTGGCAGCGCACGCGCAGGGGATAAGCAAAAACAGCCACTGGCGCTGTGAGAAAAACAGCCCGTTTGTTTTGCAGCGGGCGTGCGCCCATCACCATTCCTGCCCCCGTTCGCGACACCATCCATGGCGCGTTTCTCCGTCGCCAAGCCGTTCGCCGCCACCGCCACCGCGGCTGCTCCGCGCCTCTCTCCCCGCCGCCGCCGCCGCCGTCTTCTCGCCGCTAACGCCACCACCGCCAGGGGAGCGCTGCCGCTGCCGGCCCTGCGGAAACCCACCAAACCACCACCGCCGCCGCCCCTGCACCCGCGTCCCAGTCTCCCCGTACCCACCACCTCCAGCGACGACGATGGGGACATAAGGAGGAAGCCGGCGACGGGCGCGACGGCTTCTCTGTGCTCGTCCGGCGCCGGCGACGTGCTCCGCCTGCTGGACGCGCTCCGCCTCCCGCCCGACGAGGACGTCTACGTCTCCCTCCTCAGAGACTGCGCCGACGCCGCCGAGGTCGCCTCCGTCCACGCGCACATCGCCGGAAAATTCGCCGTCTCTGGCCTCCCTTTGCCCCTCGCCAACCGGCTGGTGCTTGCATACGCGGCGTGCGGGGACATCGGGGCTGCGCGCCAGGTGTTCGATGAAATGCCAGTCAAGAATGGCATCACCTGGGCGACCATGGTCTCGGCCTACTCCGATGGTTGCTTCCATCATGACGCGTTACAGCTATTCGTGCAGATGTGTCACCAAGTGCGGGGGATCACCGGTGATCACTACACCCATGCCATTGTGGCGGTGCTGCGTTCGTGTGCTCGGGTGAACGAGCTTCAGTTCGGTGAGCAGGTACATGCTTTTGTTGTCAAGAAAAATGGAGTCTGTGGCGATGTTGGTAGCTCGCTATTACAGCTGTACTGCGACAGTGGGCAGCTCAGCAGCGCACGGCATGTGCTTGAGATGATGAGGTTCTCATGCCAAGAACCAGTTCCTGAGGCGGCCTGGACCAGCTTGATCACCGCATACCATCGTGACGGCATTCTTGACGATGCCATTGATGTCTTCAGGGGCATGGCTTCCTCGGGCATTGCCAGGAGCAGCTTCTCTCTGTCAAGCATCCTTGCGGTCTGTGCAGAGGCGAAGAACAAAGGATGCTATGGCCAGCAGGTGCATGCTGATGCCATCAAGCGTGGCCTGGACATGAACCAGTTCGTCGGGTCAGGGTTGCTTCATATGTACGCGAAGGAAGGGCAGCTTGCAGATGCAGCCAGGGCATTTGAGGCTATTGATGGCAAACCCGACGCAGTGTGCTGGAACGCCATGGCCATGGCATATGCTCGCGGTGGAATGTACAGAGAGGCCACCAGGGTGGTGTATCAGATGAAAGCTGCTGGAATGAATCCTTCGAAACTGACGATGAATGAGGTTAAGCTGGCCTGCTTCAGATGAGATACTGAAGAATGATTTCCTTGTTTTTGTACTGTATGATCTGTGTAGAAAGGAAGTAATTTAGAGACTTAGAGTTGTGCCCAGATCTTTTTAGAAGATGTTAACAGCCAGTAATGGTATCCAGAAGTGCCCTTCTACTTCACTTAGTCAGCTTGGAGTGTTAGTGTGAGAATATAATGTAGCATCTGGAGGTGTTCTTTTTCGCCTAACAATGTCTCCAAATATGTACTCTTTTATAGATTGTGCTGGATAGCTACAATATAGCGCTTCCAAACTTGTTTAGGAAAAAGTAAGGATCATCTCCAAAGATGAAATGGTCCGTCTCCAAAAATGAATTATCTGCCTGTTTGAGACAATTTCTTCTGCAGTGATGAACTGATGAACCTGGAAGCTGTCATGAAGCAGCCTCATGTCCCCTGAAGAATCCACAACCGCAGGTCCCTGAGTGCCGCTTGGTAACCATTTTGATCCTGAATCCATGATTGTCACTGTATGAGTGCATGTGCATATAGACCTCCGTTTGGCCTTGCGACAGACGACAGTAACATTTGCATTCCAGATAAGCAGGAGTTGCTTACTCGCATGCTGCCTGTTTAATCATAGCGTTCTACTGTGTTAATCCTGCCGTGGGGCATATCCGCATATGAACTTGAAAAAAAAAGAAACTACTTACTCCCTTCGTCGTTAAATATACCAACCTAGTACTCAAGTAGACAACACCTAGTATTACAAATCTAGATAAGAGACTCCTGCCCAGATTGGAGTACTAGATACCACCTGTCGAGAAATTTCTGTGTAAAATATAGTAATATACCAACCTAGTACTTAATTAGACACCGCCTAGTATTACAAATCTGAACAAGAGACCACATGTCCAGATTGGATTACTAGATACCATCTGTCGAGATATTTGAGTCCTGGGTTGCTATATATTTTATGACAAAGGGATTAATACATTATGAAATGTAATTTGATCTGCTCCTTGCCAGGTCAAACCACCCACTCTGATTATGTAACAGGAGTGCATCGATACCCATAAGGACATAACGCATTTGACCAGACATGCTTTATCAGCAACAACAAAACTGAGAAACATGTTACATTCTCTTCTCCCTACATTACAAATTTACTTGACACCATCAGCTAATCTGTCAGTTTAGCTCAATTTGAACCAAAGATATCAGCACGTCCCTAGCAACGGGGAAAAATTGGCAGAAACAAAGGATTACAAGGATACCTTTACAGTGTAATCTATGAACAACTCGTGAGCGCTACCCATTTACATCTGACGGATATATATCACACAATATCATTGTTTCCCCACATCAGGAATTGCAGGGACCTCAGCAGAGTAATTGGACAGTTCTACATCAACCAAGTTTGAGAGGTCGTATGGCTCTGAAGGGGCAACAGTTTCTTCCATGCCATGGGAGGGCATTGTTTTATCTGCCTCATGTGTTAGGATGACTGATGCCAACGGAGCTTTCGAGTCCACGACAGAGACTTCTACCAGCTGTATGTCCTGTACTGTTGACACAACACTGGCAGAGCTATATTTTGTCGGTTCATCCTCTTCCTCGTTACTGTAGAGCACATATTCATGATATGTTGGTGCAAACTGCAAAGAAACATGAACAATCATGATTAAGACAGAGATGAAGCCCATAATGCAAATGGAGTCATTGTGCCATGAAGGACTCTTCATCAGGATGAAGGGCAGAGTGGGGGATGTCATATTGCGATATCTTGTTTACCTGGTGCACAGTATCATGATAGAAGTCATTGAATTTCAGAGCATGAAAAAGGCTTCCCCTGAATCCACCGAAAGGACGGGCATTGGAACCAGCATACTCCTTGTACGAGAAGGCAAATTGGTGCCCAATAGCTGCTATGAGCATCTCAACACAAAGCACAAAATTTTGGAGATAAGCAGCTTCTTCAGCATTTTTTATGAATCTAGATTTCGCAGCAAGGAAAACCAGGACGCCCTGTGAGAAAAGCTTCAACTTGTTACTCCCTCCGTTTCATATTATTAATCACTTTGACTAAGTTTATAGAAAAATTTAACATCATCTACAAAACCAAATTAGTTTCATTGAATGTATTTTAATGATATGTTTGTTTCATATTTGAAATATTGCTATATTATTTTATAAACTTGGTCAAAGCTAAAGAATTTTGACTAGAAAAGAAGTCAAAACGACTTATAATATGAAACAGAGGGAGTACTAAACTTCTCCTCATCAAGTAAAAAGAGGGTTTCTGTGATAGAAATCACTTTGTTTCAATAAATGCAACTCTATACAGCACTTTGATCAGACCAGAGGCTCCGAGATAAGATATAGAGAAAGGAAATAACTAATCCTAATAACTTCACTTTACCTGCCAGTAGGTGAGGAACACCACTGATTTGATAATGATAAATTTTGGAACAGGATTATATGGCTGAAGAAGATCTCTGCATGCTACGTAGAACAGTGCTAGAGCAAACAGTGCCATCGAATACGAAATTGTGTAGATGATAGTTATGTATAGATAGGATTGATTGACACTAAAATTTCCATCTTCATATTTTCCTTTGGCATAAAGAATGAAGGTTATAACAACCAATATTGGCTTGAGGATCACAAACTGCAGACAACCCTGTTTGCATCTCCGTATAAAACGCCTGTAGCGAACATTGAAAAATCAATCATCAGCACTTGCACTATCAAAATTCATAAGATAATGCTAGTTACCATAGGCAATTTCAAACATGGAAGTGCAGAACTCACCCATCTAGAGGAACAGCTGAAAAACAGCAAGTCATCATGAACCATGACGGTTTCAGAGATCGGCCAGTCAAACTTACTACCACGGCACCAGGACCTCCTACCCATGCCAAGCAGAGTGAAAAGAAATTGTAGATGACCCATGCGTCATAGCTAAAACACAATTCAGAAAAGAAGAAAAGCTCAATAACATTTTAATACCATTTTACTGTCACAATAAACACAATACCAGATAAGTCACCTCATATGAAAGTAAACATGACTAAACAGTGTAAGTGCATTCGTGTTTCTGTCATTTATAGATTTGCCTGTAAGTACACCAACACACATTTGATGAGAGTTCAAGAAATTATAGTGAAGCTTACGAAAAATTCTTTATCCAGCCTTTTTTTCCATGATTTTTCAATAAAAACCACATCTAATCAATATGCAAAGCCTTTGTGGTCTTATGGATTATGACCAATGGAATTCTGCAAAAGTACTGCACAAAATAAATAATGTACCTTCAAGTAATTGTTCAAGCTGTATGAAATCGTAGCATAAAAGACAAACGTAATATGCTCCTGGATATATAGAGAACATGTGAAATATGCTGAGGTGCTTTAATCTTTGTTACAGCATTCTGTTAGTATTTTTTTTAACAATGCATCTGTGGTTTTGATCCGCATGAAATTAAATACTGTTCGCATGCATGCACAAAACGCAAAACGTGTCCTCTAATCATCAATGAAAATAAAGCAAACCAATAACCAGATAAACGTATTTAGGATTGATCAGTCATAGGAACAAAGTTGACTAACAATACACAGTGAAAAAAGTGGTTAGTGATTTTGATACCGATGAAATTAAATACTGTTCGCATGCATGCACAAAACACAAAACGTGTCCTCTAATCATCAATGAAAACAAAGCAAACCAATAACCAGATAAACGTATTTAGGATTGATCAGTCATAGGAACAAAGTTGACTAAAACTAGGCATGGGCAAAAAAAATCCCGAAGACTGAAAACCGCACCAAACCAAGCCGAACCGAACTGAAGAGGCCGTTTTTTGGGTCATCGGTTGATTGTCCTGTTTTTATTTTCCTGTAGTTCGGTGTTCGGCTTTTGCTTCGGTTTCTATCTCACGTGAACCGACGAGACCGAAGAAACAGATGAGTGTTCAGCCAATCCAAAATGCTCGAGGCCCACTAACGTGTGCATCAAGCCCAACTTTCACTGTGGCCCAAAAAATACATGACAGCTAACAGATCCACCAAATCCTATTCCCTCTCTCCAAATCAAGCACAGGCCCTCAGGCAGAGCTGGGCAGGCCGTGCATACTTGCGGAAAGTCAACCGCAGTGTGCGGCATAGATCTTTCTCAGTAAAAACTGAACCCAAAACAACCAAACCGATCTTCTTCGGTTTATTTTGCTCGGTTGATATTTTTCTGGAACTTCCTTCAGTTTACATTTTACGAAAACCAAATTCCAGGCAACCCGAAAAAACCGATCCGATTAAACCAAGGAAACGGAACGCCCACCCCTAACTAAAACAATATACATAGTGAAAAAAGTGGTTGCTGATTACATTTCATGCATAACACAGAGGCTATCAAGGATCTGAAGCAACAAAGCATCCTAATCCAGAAAATGTTGTTACTGAATGTCCGAATCAATGCTACACCTTGAATCACCCAAAGAAGTATCGATCAACAAACTGGAATCACATACTGACTACTTCTATTACGGACAAAAAGAATTAGTTGGTGCAAAATGCCAGGCCGCACTTCATTAATCAAAAGCAACTATTTACTTAGCAGAAACTGCAGTATGAAAAACGATAATGTGCCCTGAAACTTCAGAAAAAACTTCGAGGTCATGATCAATGAACCTCTAACTAGCATATAGTGCCTTTACAACCTTGTAACAGGGAAATCTTTTTGCAATAGGGAGCAAAGCTGACACCTATTGGTATTTTTGCCATCTTCTTAATACCAAGATATTGAGATTCGTGAAACTAAATATAGTGTATGAAGTGTCAAGGCATAAACAAGTAAGTATCAATACCTATATCAAGTATACTGGCGCAATGTACAGGATAAAATAAGGGTTGGTTAGCAGTCAAACTTACATTTCGCGAATAGAGTTGAAGTAGATGGCGCTACCAGGTAGTACAAGGGAAAGAAATGACATCACAGCATATACCTGCACAATAATGTATTTATCCATAGTTAATGAAATAAAATGTTGAGAACATGAGTAAATAAAATGACAACTAAACTGAACCAGCAAACTTTACATTCATAAGTGAATATTGGCAAGCAAAGTTTATAGTACAAGCATACATCTTTGATTCTATGGGACAAATATCAGAATCATTCAGGATTGGAATTACAATAGTAGCACCATTAAAAAATAATGCATATTACAGGGCATTCTAAGAAGCTTTTGTAGCTTCACTACAAGTATTAAAATGCATATATGAAACAGAAAGACTTGCATTTCTCATAAAGAACTAAGGATTAAATCAATGCTATAAGCCTATAACTGCAGAATATATTCCCTAACAAGTTATAATTCCATTGAATAGCCAACACATTGTTGGTTAAATTCACTTTGAGATGAACAATAAACACAAAATAGTATTTTCCTTTCAAATCCACAACCATCAAGAAGACACCAACACAGATCAAATTGACCAACAGACCAACATATATGATGTATCACTTGCACTCAAATCGCAGCTGGAACCATGTGGCCTTGACTGAATTATGGAATCAGCACATAGACTCTGAACAAACAATACCGCAAGTCCGCAATCCCAGAAATCCATACAGGCAGCTTGCATGCCAAATGGAATAACTTAGCTAGCTGCAATAACATTACTAAAAAAAAATACACTCCCATCCAACTTATAGATTCACAATCACTTCCTGAACAATTCGCCAATAGAAACCTGTTCGTTCAGAAGTGAGAAACAGGTAGAGGCTTGGGGCCTCGCATCCCAGTATCCAACGACCCAGATTAACTATCGACTTGTAGTAAAATCAACTCACAACGCAGCAGCAGTATCCGCGCCTCTCACGTCACCGCCGATACCAAAATTGCTCAAGGAATCGACACGCGCACCTCTCTCAAATCGGAGCTACCACAAACTAAACCCGCCTAGGAACGCGAAGCTGGGGACGTAGCCGACGCATGGGGGAACGAGAGGGGGAGGAGGGGATCGGGCGGAGGCGAGTGCCTACCGGGACCATGAGGATGATGCGGACGATGAAGCGCTGGTGGGTGGGCTCGGCGTAGTGGAGGAGGTGGCGGTAGACGAGGCGCAGCGCCACCACCGTCGCCGCCGCGGCGCACGCCAGCGCCGTGCCCGTGTACGCGACCGTCGCCACCCACCCCTCCATCGCTCGCTCGCTCCCTCTCAACCTCCCTACGCCCCTTGCGCCGAGAGTGGAAGGAACCCTAGGCGGCGAGCCTGCGGCGGCGGTGGCGCCGACGAGGAGGGGGCGGGGGGGGGGGGGGGATGGGGGAGACGCGGCGTCGGCCGGGTGGATTCCGTTGGGAAATGGCAGGGGGTGGGGCCCGCGGCGGGTAGGGAGGGGGGGTGGGGGGCGAGGGTCGTTTCGGGTGAATAATAAATGGAAGCGTGTGGAATGGTACGATTGGGGATTTGAGTTTTGACTGTGCCCAGAGCTCTCTGAAAATCGAACCAAGTCGGTGGTGTTGGGATCCAGAAACTTAATTTTAGTTTCTATATTTAAACATTAATTTAGAGTATTAAATATAGACTACTTATAAAACTAATTACATAAATAAAAGCTAATTTGCGAGACAAATTTTTTAAGCATAATTAATCCATAATTAGAGAATGTTTACTGTAGCATCACATAGACTAATCATGGATTAATTAGGCTCAATAGATTTGTCTCGTGAATTAGTCCAAGATTATGGATGGGTTTTATTAATAGTCTACATTTAATATTTATAATTAGTGTTCAAACATCTAATGTGATAAAGACTTACAAGTTTTAGTAACATCTAAAGATCAGCCTAAAATAATTTTAACAGATACTTGTCCACCCTAAAATAAACTAAGTTAGCCAACCTAGATAAGAAAAAACATTCTAAATTTGTTGTATTAGATAATGTCTCATTATAACATAAATTAGCTTATTTTGAGATGAAGAAAGTACTCCTTCCATCCTATAAAAAAAATCAAATTCTAGCTATGAACCTGAACACATGTGTGTTCAGATTCATAGTTAGGATTGAATTTTTATAGATATAGAGAAAGTACTCCCTCCGTACTCGTAAAGGAAGTCGTTTTGGACAGAGACGCAGTCTCCAAAACACAACTTTGACTTCTTTTTTCTATAAAAATATTATTATTAAAAAGTGATATATGTATACTTTTATGAAAGTATTTTTCAAGACAAATATATTCATATAATTTTTATATTTTCAAACTCAACAACTTGAGGGTTATTAATGATTTATATTCCTAAGGTTTGACTTAAACATTGTTCTAAACGACTTCCTTTATAAGTATGGAGGGAGTACATCTTTCAGCTCAAAATATAGCAACATCGTATTAGATTAGCATAGTCTAGTATAATGAATTTGGAACCCTATCTAGATTCATAGTACTAAATTGTATCTAATTCAATACTAGGTTGTTATATTTTCGAATGGAGCTATTCTAAAGATGTGCCACTATAGCACTATAAAATGTTCATTGTACCCCCTCATCTCCCCCACTCTCGCCTCTTGCTTCTCGCTGGCCAAGCCATACAATGGTGCAAGCAATGGAGCTCGAGCCTAGTAACATGGCAACAAGGCTTGAGTAGTGTTGAAGCTTTAGCTTGACAACAAGGCGAAAGCATTTCCCGGACTCCTCCATCGATCCCATAAAATGACAGAAGAGTAGGAGAAAGAGGAGCACAACCAAAGGGTGACTGGGGTGGGCTAGCCAGCTCATCCCAAACATCCGGCTCACGCGCGCACCGGCGGTTCGAGGCACTCTTCATCGACAACTAGAATAACACCACTAAATGCCTAGCAGCACATGGAAAAGAGTCAAAAGACCACTCTCATCGTCCCCTAGGAGAAGGCCACTATGCATCACTTTGACAACCTCTGTGTGCTCGAAAGGTACCTGCCTCCACCATCTCCACCCCATGCGCCCACGCTCTCCCATCTCGATTCATAAGTTCTCCTGCTCGTCTGGCACTTTGGTGATCAAGGGTGGAGCTCAAGCTATATCGTCGGTTTGTCATTAGGCCAGAGTTCCACTACTGCGCCATTGCCTTCACTCTTACTTGGCCGAGAGAGATGAGGGGCACAATAGACATTTCATAGGGCTATTGTGGTAAAAGAATATGAACAATGATAGAAGTGGCATTTAAAGAATAGCACATTCTTTGAGGCAAATAATTAAATTTTCCCCTTATCATTTGCCTAAGACCTATACCCATGAAAAAACAGCACCACTACAAAAATGCCCATAGGTGTCAGTTTTCCAGCCAACACCAATGACCTAGTGTCATTGGTGCCGGTCGTAGAACCGGCATCTTTGTGCTCTCCTAAATTCAAAAAAAAAAAAGGAGAAGCCGGCTCTAAGCCGAGCCGAGCTTATGCTTACGAGCCAACCCATTCCCCGGTCAATAACAATCACAGATCAACGCAGATCAATCACATGTCAACAATAACAAATCCATCAATAACTACACAAGCAAGAACTGCACGAGCAAGAACAATCCATGCACGAACTCATCAGTGATGTCGCCGCCAAAAATCCTTGGCCACCCACCGCTGCCTCCCTTGGCCACCGCCACCAACCCACCCCGACCGGATCTGCGCGCCACCAGTGGATGGCCGATGGAGAGGGAGAGGAAGAAGTCACTTGGGAGGCTGCATGTTGCCGCCGCCTCCCATCCCACCGGATGTGGTGGAGGGGAGGATAATGCAGCCGCCCACCGCCTCTCATCCCACCGGATCTGGTGGAGGGGAGGGCGTCGCCCGCTGCCGCCGTTGTCGCCGTCAACGCCAAATGCGGGAAGGAGGAGGGGGCGAGAGAGAAGCGACTGTCAGGCCACTGCCGTCCACAACCTCTCTCACCACCCTGTCATCTGCACCACTGTCGGGCCTCCATGTCGCGCACCGCCACCATCCATCCACACGGTGTAGACCAGCTCCTCCATTCCTTCCACGTGCTTGCCCCTCAGCTACCCCCTCCGGCAGTGCGTTGTCGAGAATTACTTTGAAAAGTCATTTGGAATTAGAATAGGGCTGTGTTTAGTTCACGCTAGTTTGGAAATTTGGTTGAAATTGGTACGATGTGATAGAAAAATTGTGTGTGTATGAAAGGTTTGATGTGACAAAAAGTTGGAAGTTTAGAAAAAAACTTTAGAACTAAACAGGGCCTAGAAAATATAAGCATGTACATGTTTCATCATATAAAACGCCCATTAATTGTCTAGGCTAGCTTGAAGGCCAACATTTGAACTTACGTTCAATAGCTTTGATATAACTAGGTGCAAAGCCAAACAACCAAAAGCCATGGCGCTGTCCTTCGCCGTGCGCCGCCGCGCGACGGAGCTCGTCGCCCCCGCCGCGCCGACGCCCCGCGAGACGAAGCGCCTCTCCGACGTAGACGATCCGGAGTCGCTGCGGTGGCAGGTCCCCGTCGTCTTCGTCTACCGCCCATCAGCCGCGGCCGCTGATCCCGTGGACACCATCCGCCGGGCGCTCGCCGCCGCGCTGGTGCCGTACTACCCGTTCGCCGGGCGGCTCAGGGAGGTTGAAGGCCGGAAGCTCGTCGTCGACTGCACCGGCGAGGGCGTGATGTTCGTCGAGGCGGACGCCGACGTCCGCGTCGTCGAGCTCGAGGCCGCCGGGCTCAGGGCGCCGTTCCCGTGCATGGATCAGCTGCTCTTCGACGTGGACGGCTCCGCCGCGGTGCTCGGCACGCCATTACTGCTGATCCAGGTAAGCTTCAATGCTTCATCTTTGCTCATTCACGCATCGGCAATGGTGTGGCATGCATGGCACATGTCCACGTGTTGACTTGATCCGTGGACGAACAGGTGACCCGTCTCCTCTGCGGAGGATTCGTCCTCGGGATACGCCTCAACCACGCCATGTGCGACGCCTCGGGTATCGTGCAGTTCATGGACGCCGTCGCCGATCTCGCCCGCGGTGCCCGTGAACCGGCCGTCTCGCCGGCGTGGTCACGCGAGCTTCTGGACGCGCGCAAGCCTCCCAAGCTGGCGTTCCATCTCCGCGAGTACAACGACTTCGCCGCCGCGCCCCCGGCGGCGCCGTCCGTGGGCGCCCTCGGCGACATGGTCATGCGCACCTTCTCTTTCAGCCCCGGCGACGTCGCCGCGCTCAAGGGTGCTCTCCCGCCGCACCTCCGCGGCCGCGCGACGAGCTTCGACGTGCTCGCGTCGTTCGTCTGGCGCGCCCGCGCCAGGGCGCTCGAGACCCCCGCCGGCGAGGACGCGCGGCTGGCGATCATCGTCAGCTTCAGGAACAACGGCGAGCTCCGCCTGCCCCGCGGCTACTACGGCAACGTGTGCGTGCCGGTGACGGTGGCGATGCCCGCCGAGGCGCTGCGGCGGCGCGGCTCGCTCGCCGACGTGGTCGAGCAGGTGCGCGAGGCGAAGAAGACGGTGAACGCCGAGTACGTCCGGTCCGTGGCCGACACGCTGGTGATGCGTGGGCGGCCGGCCATCGACACGGCGAACCTGCTCCTCCTCTCCGACGTCCGGCTCGCCGGCTTCCACCGCGTGGACTTCGGGTGGGGCGAGCCGGTGTACGGCGGGCCCTCGCACGCTTGGTATGGAGTGAGCTACTTGATCGCCGTCAAGAACGGCGCCGGGGAAGATGGTGTGGCCGTGCCGGTCGTGCTGCCGGCGGCGGCCATGGAGCGGTTCACGTCGGAGATTGAAAGGCTGCGCAAGGGTCAGCAGCGTGGACACTTTCGGGTTCAAACAACTAGCCGCATTTAGTTTTTGACCAAAATATCCTTGCATATGTCGCAGTTTGCATTTTTCTAATAGCTACTTCTACCATATTATATTATATTTGTTGTCATATTTTTCTAAAATATACCTCGTTCACATGGCAAATGTCGCAATAGAAGTTGCATCTGTCGGGTTTTAAAAACTAGCCGAATTTAGTTGTTTGACCAAAATAAGCTTGCATCTGTCGCCTTGTGAAATTTCAATGTCGAATACTTTTTTTAATAGTCCCATTAGAAATTACTACTCCCTCGTGTTTTGAAAAGTTGTTCGTTTCATAAATATATATACATATTGGAGGAAAGTCTTAATATATTATGTAAAATTTTACTTCCTCCGTTTTACAACGTAAATCATTTTAGCATTTCACACATTTATATTAACATCAATATAATATGTGAAATACTAGAATGACTTGCATTGCATTGTGAAACGGAGGGAGTAGAAACTTTAGGATGGGCCTTTCTATTGCACGCAGTTATCCCTGAAAGCAAATCGGCCCATGTTCTCTGAGCGCAGTGCGCCCTTAACTCCCGCCGCTAACTCTAGCTTAGCATTAATATCGTTTCTAATTCGTATTTAGTGTTTTTACAATAAAACAACATATAAACAATCGAGTTGAAAAGTTATGATATTGGAGTTAAAAGCTTTGAAACTTAATTTGAAAATTTCAAATCCGAGTTGAAAATTTTAAAATGTGGGTTGAAAGTTTCAAACTTGAGTTAAAAGTTATTAAATTTGAATTAATTTTTTAAATTTTGTGGTAAAAGTTTTTAAAATTTTAAATTGAAAGTTTCAAATTTTTAGTTGAAAGTTTGCTCATTTTTTTTTAAAAAAATTCTTTTTATGAAAAACAAATAATATATAAATTAAATTAAATGGATGTAGCTTTCTTAGATGGAGATTAAATGGATCACGCTGGATTAAACTTCATGCATGAGCCAGCTACTGATCGGAATATCGGATGATAAATTTCTCTTGGTCTTTTGTGTCCAGAAGTTCTTTTTTCTGATTATATTGGGATTGGGATGGAGGGAGTACTATATTGCTTCCCATCCCACAATCACAAGTTTTGTTTAACATCGGTATAATTTAATAAAATATAAATATAATTCTCGCCTGATATCCATCGAGAATCAACGGGACATATATGTGCTTGGTGTGAGAACTCGCCACACTGATGGAATGCAAAAATAAAACATGAATGGGATATTATTGTGCTTGGTGTTTCGAGAACTCCCGATCATATATCGTGTACAAAGGACAGAAAAAAACATGAAACGAAAGAGAAAAGGTTTTAACCCCATGAAAAAGGAAGACTTAACTTATTTATGACTAAAACATCATAAATAAATGCTACTTACCAGTATACCGTTTGGGGTCGGTCCTGGACAGGACAATTTCTCACGGATCAGACAGACCCTCACGAATCAGATACACACCCTGAAGAAGCATCTGAGCAGCTCCCAAACAGACACCTACAGCTCTCAAATGACTCCCAAGCATTTGAGTCATGGCTGCGGCGGTGGGCCGGCGGCGGTGACGAAGCCGGTGGCGGTGGAGCCTGCTCACGACTCCACTTTAGCGACGCCGGTGCGCACGAGGTCAGCTGTGCCGGTGAGGGAGAGTGGCGTGAGCATGGTGGTGGCGGTTGCGGCGGCGGCTGCTGCGGCGGAGTCGGTGCGCACGATACCCCTTTCTCTCAATCCTCTTTTTTCATCGATTTTCTGATTTCGTTTTTAACATCTCTTCATTTTTGTATTTTCTAGGGTTCGTTGAATCCCCAACCTGTGGATGGGGCTCGTCGTATCACATCCAAATTAAAATCAAAGTAAGCTAATACTCTCCCTTTTTTCTGTGTGTTTTTGTTCATTTACTGGGGGTGTTTGTAGCAGAGGTGAGGGATATGTGCTGAATCATATGATACTTGCAGCAAAATGTTTGAATTGGAATAGATCGCTAAAAATGCTTCTAGTTGTATATTGATGGGAAGGCAAACAATATTGCTTGGAGCAATTTTGCCATTAACAAGTACACTGTATTGGAAGAGAGAAATCTCCATTCAACTAGTTACTTACTAGTTAAGATTTTTTTAGGTGAACTGAAGCGTAAACAAAATCAGACAAATATGCATCAGTCGGTTGCCGGCTTCTAGTTCCGGGCACGCTTTGCTTTGCATGCATGGATGCAATGTCTCTAATATAATAATTCATTTTTGCTCTATGGTTCTTACGGAAAGATATAGTAGTACCTCGTGCCGGTATGGATGTAGGGCACATTGGTTCAACTCGGAACAACGCTATATGCCTATATGTTGTCAACGAGAAACCATCAAACATACATTATTTTCTTGATCGACGTACGATCATGGTTGAGATTTAGCAAATCTGTTCATTCAACTTAACAATCTTTTTTATTAACTTAACACATACTCCTTCCGTATTTTAATGTATGACACCGTTGACTTTTCGACCAGCATTTGACCATTCATTTTAATCAAAATTTTTGTGCAAATATGAAAAAATTTATGTCATGCTTAAAGAACATTTGATGATGAATCAAGTCATAATAAAATAAATAATAATTACATAATTTTTTTTAATAAGACGAATGGTCAAACGTTGGACCAAAAGTCAACGGCGTCATACATATTTTAAATATAGAGGTAGTATTACTTAACTAGCTAGGTTCACATCCACCCGCGTCATCCTCTCGTTTTAAAATAATGGTTGACTCGTCTTCTCCTGTTCCTGCTGGTGGGTTTAATTACCAAACATAACTCCTAAAAAAAGCGTTAGACCACCATCAAGCGCAAAATTAGTGTCCTATATAGCAAACAAAGAAAACATAACCAATCGATCCTACTTCTTGCATAAACATTAATTTCAGAATGCGCATATATATATATATATATGTATATATATGTATATATATATATGTATGTATATATATATATATATATGTATATATATATGTATGTATGTATATATATGTATGTATATATATATATATGTATGTATATATATATATATGTATGTATGTATATATATGTATATATATATATATATATATATATATATATATATGTATATATATATATATATATATATATATCATATGGGGCACCATGGTGCCCGGGCACCATGGTATCAAATGCACAAAATCACTCAAAATTTTTAAAATTTTCAAATTGTGAGTATATACCTAGTTATAATAATTTGATTCATACTTATACCTATCAACAAAACAACTCAAATTTAACTTTATTTCACAATCCATGATTACATACCTAACTAATTATATGTATGGATGCTATATACCAAGAATCAAAATCTAACAAAAACAAGTTCAAATTCAGTTCAAATTTGTTTTGAACTAGTTAGTAAAGTAGTTAATATTAATACCTAAGTAATTGAAAAAGTTTCATACTCATTTGAATTGGGTATATACTCAATTTCAACAATGGTGCCCGGGCACCATGGAGCACCAAACAAATTTACTATATATGTATGTATATATATGTATGTATATATATATGTATGTATATATATATGTATGTATGTATGTATATATATATATATATATATATATACGTATGTATATATATATATACACGTATGTATATATATATATATATATATATATATGTTCTAAAAGCCTTGCATATACGTACGCTTGATATTTGTTGCCTATGTACTCCATCCGTTTCTAAATATTTGACGCCGTTGACTTTTTTTAAATATGTTTGACCGTTCGTCTTATTCAAAAAATTTAAAAATTTAAGTAACAAGGAAGCCCGCACTGATACGCGGGCATTTTATTTTTAATGATAAAGAGAACACTAAAAGAAGTATTATCTCACCATATTCATCTTAGAAATTCACCATAAGAGATGGTAAATTATCTTATAATGGTAACTAAAATGGAAGAAAAATACTTATGCCGTGAAATAGATCATAGACTTTGATATACTAAATTATAAGAATGTATCTCAAATTTCAAAAAAAAAAATCACTTAGTCCATGCTTAGATATAAACTCACCTATCACCACTACAGATTATTATTGTCTTGAAAGTTGGGTCCCTTTTCATAAATGGAATTGTATTAATACCATAAAAAGAGACTAACACATCAGTAATACAATAAAATAATCATGAGCACTTCACACATAATTCTCTGTCTTATGTCCAAATCTATGTATAGATATTCTTAAACCATTCACTAGAACGGTAACCACCATCTCAATCGGGCGGCAACCCCATCTCAATCGGGTACGGCGTCCGTCACAGCCTATATACCAACATTACGTTGGAATTAATAGATGGGTGTTAGCCCATTCAAAGATTAATTCTTTAGAAAAATAAAGAAAGCTCACCTTATGGGATAGCATGCATGGGGAGTTTAGTACACCTTGCCTATTCTAGCAGAGGGAAACCTCCTTATAAGGGAGGATGCTCTCCTAGCAACTTGAGACATGCTCTCCTCGCCTGGCATGGCGCGCGCGTGCACGATGTACGCGTCGAATGGTCCGCCAAAATTGGTTCCTCACCCTTGCGCAGATGCAGTCTCTTTTTGCAGTTTTATTTTACTGCGGGAAATTTAGATTTATTTTTTGGAAACACTCCGAATAATCAGGTGCGTGAAATGGCGTGGAGTCCGGATAAGTTACACGTGACTTATCCAGTTCGGTTACACGGAGTGGAGATCGTGCAAGCGTCCTGATTAATCTAGGGTTTGCCTCTTCCTTGGTACTACGTCATCACTCGTGGTCTACTTCATCCCGCTTATTGGCGTGCACCGATGATCGGGAGAGCAGATCTCCAGAACCTTCACCTTCAACATCCTGCACCGGTAGAAGGTGGCAATAAGGTTTTTGGATGTGCTTCTCGCGACTATTTCCTGTTCAACTACAACGGTTCATCTTCCTCTTCACTCGCGTCATCCTCTCGTTTTAACACATATTACTTAACTAGCTACGTTCACATCCACCAGCGTCATCCTTTCGTTTTAAAAAAATGGTTGACTCGTCTTCCTGTTCCTGCTGGTGGGTTAAATCACCAAACATCAACTCCTAACAAAAGCCTTGGTCCAACGTCAAGGGCAAAATTAGTGTCCTATATAGCCAACAAAGAAAACATAAGCATCGTATTCCTTGGCCTCCCACTCATCAACATTAATTTAAGAAGGCACAAATATGTTCTAAAAACCTTGCCTATATGCTCGATATTTGTTGCCTATATACCAGCATTGAGCAACAATATCAACAATATCAAGTCAAGTTGCCTAACCTACTAATAAAATAAGTTAAACGCCTTAAAGGTTATAGGCTTTGTCATCTAGCTAGATGTTAATAGTGAAATTTGGTAAGCCTCTAACATAATTATCATATCGCCAATAGTCGGATTCCTGCTATAATCGGTTAAGGAAATCAATATATTAAAGGAAGCTTATCCAGAAGTACATGAGTTCAAGGAGGATGCGGCATGGCAAGTTATCTATTAATTAGGAATATTTTGTTAGTTTTCTTTTATCTTTAGAAAAGTATGTTTAGTGTCATATAAGGACTTTATGTTTTCGTTTTATCTTTTGGAAAGTTTCTTTCTTGTCCTACAAGGATAAGCATCTACCCATGGGTATAAATATGTACACCCGGGGTCATTACAAACTATCTTTCGATCAATACAACTACTCTCGGCGCATCGCCACCCTTTTTTCTGAGGTTTTTACTTATCAACCGCCGGAATTTGGCACCTGACGCGGGGCTACATTGGTTCAGTTCGATCTCCGGCAAATGGGTAAGTCCTACCTTCTTTCGGCCCTGGTGAATCTATCGGCTACATTGGTGTTATTCAAGACTGCATTGCTTTCGATCTCTTAGAACGGTCTGGTTTGGTTGATATATTTGCCTACCTGATATCTCAATTCTATATCTAATTGCATTATGTTTAGAGATACATCGGTTTAGTAGGAACTATCTTGGTTAGGTCCGATCTTCTGTCTTAGCCGATATATCTCTACAATCACAATGTTGTTATAAATAGATTTGTTATATCTATCACATTAGACAAATCTATCGGCTCATCGAGTATTAGATTATCATATATAATCTCGTGCTGCATCGGTTAGGTCCGACCTACTAGATTGTTATTGATAAATCTTGTTAAGTCGATAGGTTCATGCTAGTGTTTTATCGAGGTGCTAGCCGATAAGTTATCTGGACGTTGCATCGGCTTACAAGCATTACATACAAGTTGGATTTAGCCGATTGCAACAAAGGTTTTACTGTTTATCTAATCTTGAGGATTTTAATGACATCGAATCTCTAGCCGATATATGCTTTAACTATCGGATCAGTACTTATCCTATCATATTATTTTTAGCTGATTGGTTTCTATTGGACTATATTATTGTTATATTTTATTATCATCAGCCGATTGTCTTTATATTATTATCTACATTGGACATATAGCGGATTGCTAAAAACCCTATCGACATCGGTTGTTATCGGCATCGGCTAATATCAGCTATTGGCTAGAATTACTCCATTGGCTTGTCAGCCAATCGGTTGTTTTATCTACTGTTTACATATTTTGTCAGTTGCAAGATTAAACTAACTGGCACGTCCGCATCTCATCAATCTTTAGACCTGCACTGGAGCTAAGCAGATCTCCCAGGCCAGTGCATCGACGTTGACACTCTAGCGATAGAGATACGACAGGAGGCCACCGCAGATAGGGCGGCCGCTGGCGGACGCCGTGCCGGAGCCGTTGACCCAGCTGCTGCTCTTGTGCATGTCCCCGGTAGATATTGGGAAGAGGTGGGGAGGAGATATGACAGGTGGGTCCCACTAATTTTTTTTAAAGAAAATACTGACTGGATTGCCACGCGTACGCCACGTAGGACAAAACCGCTCTGGATTGGGTCAAGGGGGGAAATTCGTCCAGTATTCAAAGTTCAGGATGTAAAATGTCTGGTTTTCGGGTTTAGGGGGGTAATTCGGTCGACCGCGATAGTTCAGACTCGTAATTCGTACTTTTTCCTTTTATTTATGGTAAAAACCATATTGATAGATACAATAATGACTATGGACTCTCTTATTCAGCATGTATATATATTTGTACGTAATATATATGTATCTTACGAGCATTCATACGTATGGAAACGGATCCTCTAACATACTACGCTCTCTAACTAATAATATGTAGGTTCATAACTATACCGAACCCATATATTAGTAGCCCACGTTAGAGAGAGCAGCTAGTTCATCAGAGGAGACTCGATCGGCTTAACGTAGCTAGTAGGGGCGCTTCCCGTTAATGTTGCCACGCGGGTTGTAGTTGCAGGCGATCAGCGTGCTGCTGCGACCGTTGATGTTGCAGCCGGTGACGCGCGCGCAGCCGATCTGGGTGGTGCGGCTCCACACCACCTGCGTGTAGTGGCCGCACACCTTCCCGCCGACGCAGCTGTTGCTGCTGCGATCGTAGTACGGCTTCTCGCCCACCCAGCTCCCCATCGCGTCCGCTGGCTTCCCGACCCAGCCGGCGGCGCTGCTCCACCCCCACCACAGGTTCTCACCGTATGGCCCCTGTATGTGGTCCGTGCGGCATGTGCTGGCGTGCTCCCGGGCCTTCGCCGCCACCGCCTCGCTCCACGACACCTGCGCCTTGACGCCGACCGCGGCCCGGGCGTCGTTGTGGAGCTTGACGAACTGTGCCTTCTCGGCGTCCGACAGGTCGCACTACGCTGGGTAAGGCTATTAGTGACGGGCCCAAACTGTCACCTCTGACGGATATAGCTCTGGTCAGAGATTAGTGGTCACTGATTACTCTCATCACCTTTGACGGGTGAAGGCCCGTCAGTGGTGAAGGCTACCTGCGACGAACCACATATCAAACCTGTCACAGGTACTATTATCTCAAACGACCTGTTATTTTGTGACCCGTCACTGATGTCTTTAACCCAACAAAAAAAAAAGAAATAGCGTGCAACCCGTCACTGGTGTGAAAAACAAACAAAAAACAATGGTGCACGCTGCTGTGGTGGTGCTCGTTGTCACAGGCTCACAGCTGCTTTGCTCACATTCATTATCACACAAAAAAATTCAAACCGATAGATCTCATATAGAAGTATTCACACAAAGGGGATGGCAAGAATTTCTCAATGCAGAGACAACAATATCATATCAATGCAAAAGGATAGGGGGCGAGAGGGGCACACCGGTGACAGATCTGGCGATCGGCGAGCGAGGGATGGCAGTCATGGCGATCGACGGTCGGGAGGTGGAGGCGGCGACACCCTTTGGTGGGAGGCGCATCCGGCCGGAGCGAAGGGGAAGCAAAGCTCGCGGCAGGCGAGGCCAGACGGTTGGAGGCGGTACTCGTCGGCCGGAGGTGCGCATCCATATCGACCACATCGGCGGGGAAGAAAGGGTGGAGGCGCTGGCGGCCGGGAGGTGGGGGAGGCGTCGGCGGCCAGATCCGTGTCCTAGAGGCCAGATCCGCGTCCTGGAGGCAGACTCAGCGGTTGTCGTCGGTGGTCATCGTCGTCGTCGCTCGAGCTTGGCGCCAGTGACCCCGAGCTCCTGGAGGTCGGCGGTCGGGGATTGAGGCCGCGGCGCCGCCGCTCACCTCCTCGCCGCCGCCACGCACCGCTGAGCCACGCACCAGATCGGAAATAAGAGAAGGAGGAGGAGGGGAGAAAGAAGGGGGAGGAGGATGTGGGTACCGCCGACGCCGCTCGCCGCCTAGCGCCGCCGCACCACCTCGCCGCTTTGCCTCCGCACCACCGCTGCCGCCCAGCGCCGCCGCCGCACCACCTCGACGCTGCGCCTCCGCACCACCGCCGCTGCCACGCGCCGCTGAGCCGTCGCCCAACGCCGCCGAACCACCGCCGCGCGCCGCCGTCGTCGCCACGCCGCTGCCTCTCCCGGGGGCCGTCGGGTCCTCCGCCGCCGCCGCAAGAGCCTCCCCTCTTGTTTCTGTGAGTTTGGATAAGGGAGAGAGAGAGAGGTCCTTTTGTTTCAGTGGATAAGAGAGAGAGTGGATAAGGGAGTACATATCTCCATCTACTAGTCTAGTCAGCCCCCCTCCCCACCTGTGACGGGCTCCAGTGATGGGTCCGTTTGAGGTGAGTTAACCTCACCTTTGACGATTTATAAGGATGCAACCCGTCACAGGTAAGACGGGCCGGATGTGGAAGCCGTCAGAGGTGAGATTTACCTCACCTTTGACGGTTTCTACTATGGGACCGTCACAGGTGACTAGTTACCTGTGACGGGTTGTAGAAGGATGCCTCACCAATGACGGCGTCCCGTAGAACCCGTCAAAGGTGACCCTCATCACTGACCAATGCTAAAGCCCATCACAGATATGCCGTAAAAAATGTGAGGATCTGGTGTAGTGTCGGCGGCCATCGTCGTGGTGGTCGCCACCACGATGGTCGCAATGGCCACCGCCAGAGCAAAGGCAGCTCCTTTCTTCGGTACACTTCCCATGGTATCTCCGAATTCACGAGTGATCTTAGTCCTGCTCAGCTTGGCTAGCTATCTGACTGTATGCAGAGGTGATGATTAACGCTTGCAATTAGGCAGTATTTATACTAAACAAGAAAGGTAGCCCACGCGTTCGCGTGGGCATGAATCGTAGACTGTGTTTGAGAAACTTATAAAGGCAGAATATTAATCAAAACTTATAGAAGATCATTTAGATTGTTTGGATTATTTGAGCACATTTAGAAAAAAACATAATATTTTCTTTAGTTAAAGGCACTCAATTGCTTATGCAGTGGCTCAGATTATCTATATTTCAGCTAGTTATTCTTGCTTATATAGTGTGAGTTTAGCTATACATGTTTCAAAATAGATCATGGTGTGACTTGTATTGTTGAATTATTTCTGTTGGCGGATGGCATGAGGCCCTTCGACCCAACCTGCCGAAACCCATGGCGTAGGCTATGGAGCAAGAACGGCGTAAGGCGAAGAGTAGCGCCAGGCCAGAGGCGTCTCAGGCGAAGGGTGCAAGGCGAAGACTGTCTGCCGAAGGAGGATGACTTCGCCTTGACAAGTTCGCTCCCGCGAGGGCTGAGGAAGCCCCTCCGGCCCATCAGGCCGACGATCGCCAGACGGCCCATCGGGGGCCCATGAGCCCCTATGACATTATGTACCCCTGTAAATGTCCCTTTCATAAGGGTAATCATGTAAATTCCCCTGTACAACCTAAACCCTGGTAGTAAGAACCTGTAATGGGGCTATAAATAGTCCCCTAGGGCCATATAAGCGGGGGATCCCCAAGTGAAATTCAAAATTTAATACACTTCATTTTTCCAACCACTGTTGAGTAACCACGTCTTTCGACATATGCGGTTGTCGTTTCGACAACAGTTGGAGCCGACCGTGGGGACTCCGAGCAAAACCACTTAGAGCGAATGCCACCGAAGAGGGTCATGAAGGAGAAGGTTGCCAGGCGAACGGAGAGCGATGCCGGACCAGACATGGCCGCCGAGGAAGGAGCAGAGCCTTCGGCGCCCGTAGCCGAAGCTGGAGGAGCACAAGCGCCATCACAACCGCCTTCGGCCCCTGCAACTTCGGTGCAAGAGCCGAACGAGGCCGACGTGGCGAAGGCGGCTGCGGCGGCAAGGGCACTCCAGACCATGGCGGAGATCCTTTCGACAAGCCAACCGGTGGTGCCCCAAGCTGCTCCATCACAGCCGGCAGCGACCACAACCGCGCTCGCCGTTGTACAGGCCCAAACCAGCCTTGACCTCGAAGCACAAGCCGAAGCCGACATGGAGGCTATGCGGCACAACATGACACGGCTCCAAGACATGCTTCGCCAAATGCAAGAACAACAACAAGCATACGAGGCGGCAAGGCGGGTCAAGGCCACGTCGGCTCCAATCCTTCAGTATTCGGCAGGCTATGTCCAACCTCAAGTCCATCCGCAAGTGACGACCCAGCCCTTTCCGCCACAAGCCGCACAGGTGCCGGTGTACTTCACCGGGCAGCATCAATCACCTGGCCAAGTGCCACAAACAGTGGCGGAAGGGGCTTCAGCTCTGCAGACGCAACACCAAGCTTTCCTTCAGCAACTCAACCAACCCTACTACATTTCAAGTACAACCCCATCGGCTCACCCGGTGGGGAATACAAGTTAAGGTGCGCCTACTTGGTTGCCACCGATTCAGTCAGGCTCGGGAGCTTCGCCGTAGAATCAGGGACCGCAGTTCGACTGTGCCAACGTTGCTTAGGCGCCAACCGTTCGGCAGCAAGCTCCGACCCCAGGCTTCGGAACAAACCAAGTACCAATCCAAGCTGCCATGACGTGGTCGCAGCCAATTTTTGACCCATCCATAGCGGCTCAGCAAGTGCCTCCAGTTGGAGCCGGGCAGCCGAACGCCATGGCCCAACCTCACGTACAAGCTGCGATTTCGCCCTTCGCCACACCGTACCCGCAGCAAGGTGGGTAAACAGGGCGGGAGGCGAAAAGGGGCTACCGCTGAGTGGGGGAATCAAGACTCGTCCAATTCCACCCCAGTTCAAGTTCCCACCCATCCCGCGCTAGTCAGGCGAAACTGACCCGAAGGAGTTCCTCTCCATCTACGAGTCAGCGATCGAAGCGGCTCATGGTGACGAAAATACCAAGGCGAAGGTAATACATCTCGCTCTAGACGGCATCGCCCGTTCTTGGTATTTCAATTTACCAGCCAATAGCATTTACTCATGGGAGCATTTGCGCGATGTTTTTGTCCTTAACTTTCGAGGCACCTACGAGGAGCCGAAGACGCAACAACACCTACTCGGCATTCGCCAAAGGCCGGGGGAGTCGATAAGGGAGTACATGCGTCGCTTCTCGCAAGCCCGGTGCCAAGTTCAAGACATAACCGAGGCGTCGGTCATAAACGCCGCATCGGCTGGTCTGCTTGAGGGCGAACTAACAAGAAAAATCACTAACAAGGAGCCGCAGACGCTCGAGCACCTACTTCGCATTATTGACGGGTTCGCAAGGGGCGAGGAGGATTCTAGGCGACGACAAGCTATACAAGCTGAGTACGATAAAGCCTCCGTCGCCACTGCTCAAGCTCAAGTGCAAGCTCAAATTACCGAACCACCTCCCCTCTCTGTTCGCCAGTCTCAGCCGGCGATCCAGGGATAGCCGCCAAGGCAAGGCCAAGCCCCCATGACTTGGAGAAAGTTCAGAACAGATCGAGCGGGCAAGGCTGTGATGGCTGTCGAAGAAGTGCAAGCCCTCCGCAAGGAGTTCGATGCCCAGCAAGCAAGCAACTATCAGCAGCCAGCCCGCAAGAAGGTCCGAAAAGACCTCTACTGCGCCTTTCACGGACGCTCTTCGCACACCACGGAGCAATGCCGAAACATTAGGCAACGTGGCAACGCGCAAGACCCAAGGCCGCAGCAGGGGGCAACTTTCGAAGCACCCCGTGAAGCAGTTCAGGAGCAAACACCCCCAGCCGAACAACGCCAGGATACACAACGAAGGGTAATCCAAGTGATTACAAGAGCCGACCCACCAAGCCAGTTGTCGAAACGGCAGAGAAAGATGCAGATCCGCATGGTCCACAGCATCACTTCAGCGGGTGAGGGGGCTCCACAGTACATGAACCAGCTGATCTCTTTCAGGCCAGAAGACGTCGAAGGAGTCCTGTTCCCGCATCAAGATCCACTGGTGATCTCAGCTGAGATAGCCGGTTTTGAAGTTCGACGAATCCTGGTCGATGGAGGGAGTTCGGCCGACGTGATCTTCGCCGAAGCATATGCTAAGATGGGCTTGCCAACCCAAGCTCTTACACCGGCACCAACGTCGCTCCGGGGGTTCGGCGGAGAGGCAGTGCAAGTTCTTGGCCAAGCACTTTTGCTGATAGCTTTCGGCTCGGGAGAAAACAGGCGCGAAGAGCAAATACTGTTCGACGTCGTCAACATCCCATACAACTACAACGCCATCTTCGGCCGTGCAACCCTGAACAAGTTCGAAGCCATTTCCTACCACAATTATCTCAAGCTCAAGATGCCTGGCCCAAGAGGGGTGATAGTAGTCAAGGGGCTTCAGCCTTCGTCCGCTTCAAAACGCGATCTAGCCATAATCAACAGAGCAGTGCACAATGTTGAGACCGAACCGCATGAGCGGCCGAAGCACACGCCGAAGCCCACCCCTCACGGCAAGGTAACAAAAGTGCAGATTGATGATGCCGACCCCACAAAGCTCGTATCACTGGGGGCGACATGGGCGAAGAAGAAGTTGAGAGCATACTAGAGGTGCTCAAAAAGAATATCGATATCTTCGCCTGGAGCCCTGATGAAGTGGGGGGCGTCCCGGCGGATCTTATCATGCATCACCTAGCAGTCAAGCTGAATATTAAGCCAAGAAAACAAAAGTTGAGCAAGATGTCTGCCGATCGCCAAGAAGCGGCGAAGGCCGAAGTACAAAAATTACTCCGGGCGGGGGTTATCCAAGAGATCGACCATCCGGAGTGGTTGGCGAATCCAGTGCTGGTGCGGAAGTCAAATGGCAAATGGCGCATGTGTGTCGATTTCACAGATCTGAACAAGGCGTGTCCAAAAGACGATTTCCCCTTGCCGCGAATCGACCAGCTCGTGGATTCAACAGCTAGATGTGAGCTCATGAGTTTCCTGGATGCATATTCCGGTTACCACCAGATCCACATGAACCCGCTCGACATCCCCAAAACGTCCTTCATCACTCCATTCGGCACATTTTGTCACCTCAGGATGCCTTTCGGCTTAAGGAATGCAGGAGCAACTTTCGCCAGGCCGGTGTACAAGGTCCTTGGCAAGCAGTTGGGGCAGAATGTGGAAGCTTACGTCGACGACATCGTCGTAAAAAGCCGCAAGGCTTTCGACCATGCGATCGACCTGCAGGAGAAGTTCGACAGCTTGCGCGCGGCAGGCATAAAGCTGAATCCGGAGAAGTGTGTTTTCGGCGTCCGCGCAGGCAAGTTGTTGGGATTCCTTGTTTCCGAAAGAGGCATCGAGGCGAATCCCGAGAAAATCGATGCCATCCAACAAATGAAGCCTCCGTCAAGCGTACATGAAGTACAAAAGCTTGCAGGCCGAATTGCGGCACTCAGTCGATTCCTCTCAAAGGCGGCCGAAAGAGGTTTGCCCTTCTTCAAGACCCTCTAGGGCGCGGGAAAGTTTAATTGGACACCAGAGTGCCAAGCAGCATTCGACGAGCTAAAGTAATACTTGCAAAGCCCACCAGCTCTGATAAGCCCACCCCCAGGAAGCGAACTGCTATTATACTTGGCAGCTTCGCCAGTGGCAGTCAGTGCTGCACTCGTTCAAGAAAGAGTCCGGACAGAAACCGGTCTACTTCGTCTCCGAAACACTGCAAGGAGTGAAGACAAGGTACATTGAAATGGAAAAGCTTGCTTACGCTCTAGTAATGGCTTCGCGCAAGCACAAGCACTACTTCCAGGCCCACAAAGTCATAGTCCCATCACAGTACCCCTTGGGCGAAATAC